CATTTGCATCATTTAGCCTTTCTCGTTCTTAAATTTCTCAAGGATGGGGTGCACGTAACTCAGGCTTCTTTTCTAGATTTTCTAGAAGAGCCACAGGGCAAAGATTTTAAGTGTAACTTCTGGTCTTTGGCTTTGGCTGTCTGTTCCGCCTTCTGAAAACCAGAAGGAGACTTCAGTCGAATTTCCAAATTTCCCTCCGTAAGACATCATCAGTTCAAACTTTAGAGTAGAATAGAATAACAGAGTTGGAAGGGACCTTGGAGGTCTTCTAGTCCAACCCCCTGCTTAGGCAGGAAACCCTACACCACTTCAGACAAATGGTTATCCAACATCTTCTTAAAAACTTCCAGTGTTGGAGCATTCGCAACTTCTGGAGGCAAGTTGTTCCACTGATGAATTGTTCTAACTGTCAGGAAGTTTCTCCTTAGTTCTAGGTTGCTTCTCTCCTTGATTAGTTTCCACCCATTGCTTCTTGTCCTGCCCTCAGGTGCTTTGGAGAATAGCTTGACTCCCTCTTCTTTGGGGCAACCCTTCAGATATTGGAAGACTGCTATCATGTCTCCCCTAGTGCTTCTTTTCATCAAACCCAGTTCCAGCAACTGTTCTTTATATGTGATATGGATATCCTAATGGGATATGGATCACTGGATTTAAATCAGAGGTGTCTCCAACTTCGGCAACTTTTAAGACTTGTGGACGTCAACTCCCAGAATTCCTCAGGCAGAATGACGCCCCTAGTCCTTAAAGTTGCTGAAGTTGGAGACCCCTGATTTAAATGATAGAGAGCCAAATTCCCATTGAATGTGAGAAGCAACTCTCCAAGAATAAAAGCAGTTTTTGACAATGGAACCAGCGACCCAGTTTTCATTAAACTAGACATGCCCAGTTCCTGCAATTCTTGGCCTCCAGTCCTCTAATTCTTTTTCTTGCTCTTCTCTGCACTCTTACTAGAGTCCCCTCATCTTTTTTACATCGTGGCGACCAAAATTTTCATAGAGATCCAGCTGTACCTGAAGTCACAGGGAAATGTACAGGGTGATCCCACCCTCTTTGGATTACCTGGCCTAGCCAATGTTGAAAGCCCGCAAGGGATCATTCTTCCAAAAGAATTAAGACAACTCATCTCTCTCTGGTGGGGTTAAGGAAGGCTGGATCCAATCCTTTAATAGAACTTGATTTTTTCAACTTGGCTTGGCACAATAATCCAGATGCTGGGGAACATCAAAGCCTCTCTCAAAAGCTACGGCAAACAATGGGGAGGGGAGGGGGGGAAGAAGAGGATGGGGGGAGAGGCCAAAGGAGAGAGAGAGAGAGAGGAATGATATCAATGGATGGGAAGAGGGGAGGGGGGGAAGGGGGAGGGCAAGAGTGCGTCGTTGGGTGGCCGACGGACCTCCAAAATAGCATGCAATTATTTGCAAATATTGTTGAGATGAAGAGAACAGATGAGACCAAATTCAATGGCCCATTTATATCACTGCAGAGAGATTTTTGTGCAGCTGAGCTTTGAGGACTCATTCATTTCAGGCAAAAGCAGATTTTTGAAGAGAGGAGGAGGAAAAGGGAAGGAGAGAGGAGGGGGGGGGCGAACCCATTTCGTGAGATGTACTGATGGATTCTCAATGAAGCGAGACCAGGCCTCCTCAACCAATTCTCCCAAACATTAAACGAGGAGGAGGATGGAATAAAAGGCAAAGGATATTTGGGGAAAACAAAGGAAGAGGAGATGCCTTTCAAGAGGGCTGGTTGGGTCTTGTATGAGTGGGCTACCTCGTGGTGGATCAACAGTGACACCTAGCGGCCAGAGGCAAGCAAGACAGTGATGTACTCTACAACCTTTTGGTCACCATGGACCGGTTCCGTGGAGGGAGGATTTTCCACGGACCGGAGGGGACACGATTTCCCATTCTGCCTGCATCCCACAGATGGGGCTTCGTTTGTTTGCACTGCCCAGTTTCTGGCATGTTGCGGCCGCGTGCCAATCCAAGTACCGGGGGTTAGGGATCCCTGCTCTACACCACTCTGAAGCAGAAAGTCAAACTTTTTCAGCCCTTCCAAGGACTTCAGAAGAACTGCCAGAACTCTATTGTTCAAGAATAAAATGACAGAATCTTGAAAGCCAAATAGAGGTTCCTCTCCTTCGCCTTATATAGGTGGTCCTCGACCTATGACCACAATTGACCGGTCAACTAAGCTGAGCTGCTGACACCGCCGGGGAACACTGGAGCCTTCGCTGCTGAGCAGCTGATTGGCGGTTGGATCGGCCTCCCAGAATACCACCGATCAGCTGTTCTAGGCGGCGGGGATTCACCACGGCCCGCGGATTGCTGCGATCGGGTGGCGGCAAACAGGCAGAGGCGATAGGTGGCGGCGATCCCCGCCACCTAGAACAGCTGATCAGCACCGCACCAACCCCCTCCCCCCGCCGCAATATTCGCTCTATAATACGCACAGACATTTCCACCCACTTGGGGGGGGGTCCATCTTATATTCCCAAAAATACGGTAATCTAATGTTTTGTGATGAATGTATTTTTTCAATGACTATGATAATGATCTACCCTGTTTCCCCCAAAATAAGACATCCCTTGATAATAAGCCCAATCGGGCTTTTGAGTGCATAGCAATAAGGCCAAACATTTATTTCAGGGTTCAAAAAAAATATAAGACAGGGTCTTATTTTCGGGGAAACACGGTATCACTATTTGTTGTATGTACACTGAGAGTTTACGCACTGGAGACAAATTCCTTGTGGGTCTAATCACACTTGGCCAACAAAGAATTCAGTTCAGTTCAGTTCAGTTCAGTTCAGTTCAGTTCAGTTCTGTTCTGTTCTGTTCTGTTCTGTTCTGTTCTGTTCTGTTCACAATCATCATCAAAACGGCCATAGCTTTGAATCATGACACACGATGCCTCAATTTGTAACTGCAAAAACTTACGACCTTAGCACTGGGCTCAATTATGGACACAGGTCAAGAACTACCTCTACATGACTTAAGAATTACCCAATAAAATGCTGTCGCTTATGAAAATAAACTTGTTCAATTTTTTAAGGATCCACAGCGAGTGACACAACCAGCCCTCCCAATTTCTCACCATACAATCTAGGAAATCATCTTCACTTTTATGACTTTGTCATATACAGGTAGTCCTCGACTTACAACAGTTCATTTAATGGCCATTCAAAGTTACAACGTCACTCAAAAAAAGTGACTTACGACCATTTCCCACACTTAAAACCATTGCGGCATCCCCATGGTCGCACGATCCAAATTCAGATGCTTGGTAACTGGTTTACATTTATGACGCTTGCAGTATCCAGAGGTCACGTGATTCCCTTTTGTGTCCTTTTGACCAGGAAAGTCAACGGGGGAAGCCAGATTCGCTTAACAACCATGTTATTAACTTAACAAACTCAATGATTCCCTTAACAACTGCAGCAAGGAAAGTCGTAAAATGGGGCAAAACTCACTTAACAAATGTTTCACTTGGCAGCATAAATTTTGGGCTCAATTATGGTCATAACTCGAGGACTACCTGTAAACTGTATTTCCATAGAAGGAGGTTTTCCTTGGAAGGCTTTGTTAAAGTTGCAAAGCTGGAAAGATGCCAAAGGTTATTCATTTGTTTGAGAACCTAGAATTTCTTTTACTTTCTTTCAATTTTTTTTTTTTTAAGGAGGAAGGGTTTCAATACAGGTAGTCCTCGACTTACAGCAAGAAGAGCCTTGGTAGTACAATGGTCTAAGGCACCCTGTTATTAAGCTGGTTATTAAGACCAGCTGCCTGCAATTACTGCAGGTTCGAATCTCACCAAGGCTCAAGGTTGACTCAGCCTTCCATCCTTTCTAAGGTAGGTAAATTGAGGACCCAGTTTATGGGGGCAATAAGCTGACTTTGTATAAAAATACAAAAGTATGAAGGCTATTGCTTAGCGCATTGTAAGCCGCCCTGAGTCTCCGGAGAAGGGCGGCATATAAATCAAATTTTTTTAAAAAAATTCATTTAGTGACCATCTGAAGCAGGGGTGGGTTCTATTTACCTTTACTACCGGTTCGCAACGGGGCCGCGCACAAGCGCAGAAGCTTCTGCACATGCACAGAAGCATTTTCATGGGGTCAGGGTCAGGGGCGGAGCCTCCCACCGGTTTTACTATAGAACCGGGGGGCAACCTACCACTGATCTGAAGTTACAACAGCACTGAAAAAAAGTGACTTACGACATTTCACACTTACGATCGGTGCAACGTCCCCATGGTCATTTAATCAAAATTCAGATGCTTGGCAACTGACTCCTATTTATGACGGTCCGGGGATCATGTGATCCCCTTTTGTGACCTTCTGACAAGCAAAGTCAAGGGGGAAGCCAAGATTCACTTAACAACCAGGTGACTTAACTTAACAACTGCAGCGATTCGCTTAACAACCAGTAGCAAGAAAGGTTGTAAAATGGGCCAAAAACTCATTTGATCCAATGTCTCCCTTAGCGTCAGAACTTTTGGGCTCAACTGTGGTCGTACGTCGAGGACTACCTGTATAAACCTGGTGCCTCTTTAGGCAGACCCCTTAGCAACCTGGGTGGATTGGTGTAGAAAGAAATTTCAAACCCTCATTCGCAAAATCTTCGGCTGCTAAGGAACTAAAGGACTACATTCAGATGTCAGCTGTTCCCCCCAAATTGGCCTAGTAGCCAATTTATGTTGCTGCACGTAAAGAGTCTTTCACACATAAGAGAGTCCACTGCAGAAGACAACTCGTAAAGTCAAATAAATAAATAAAACAATTCAAAAACCATTGACACATTATGAACCAGGAATAATGCCACATCTAACTCATGGTTTTCAACATGGGGGTCCACAACACGACGTAACACAGGGGATTAAAATTCTTACTTCCCAGCGTGCCCCCCACCCCCCCAAGTCCAGGTGAAATCTTTTCAAATCCCCCCCCCCTTTGCCCCTTCTTCCAAATCCCTTAGAAATACCTTCATTTTAAAGTCTAACCTGTTTGGATGTGACGTCGGGAGCATAAACTGGAATTCCACCACGCACGTGTTGTCTTTCAACTGGCGATGTTGGACGCTGTTCAGCTCGTAGGCGATGTATGCCCTCCGAACATACACCTGGGGTGGAAAAGGAAACATGTCTGAAGGGCGCGTTGGGTGTTCAAACATCCTGTTCCTCGATGGAGGGTTAGACCCAGCTTAAGAGCACATCAGTTGTAATGGTATCTAGCAGAGGTCTCCAAATTTGGCCATTTTTAAGACTTGTGGATTTCAACTCCCAGAATTCCAGCTGGGGAATTCTGGGAGTTGAAGTCCAGAAGTCTTACAATGGCCAAGTTTGGAAATCCCTGGTATATAGGGATGACCTTGAAGGATGGTGGAGGGGGAGTGTGGGGGGGAAGGATTGCTGGCTAAGGAACAGTCAGATGAGAGAGTGTAGCCCACAGCTAGACAGTAGACAGGGCAAGAGGAACATTAGGGACCCTCCCTAGTTTCTCAGGCTGTATAGGGGACGGTGGGAGATTTGAACTTTTAGAGTTGCAAGGTTTTGTTAACTTAGCCTTACAATACAGGTAGTCTTCAACATACAACAATTCATTTAGTGACCGTTCAATGGCACCAAAAAAAGTAACTCATGCCAGTGGTGGGTTTCAAAATTTTTTACTACCGGTTCTGTAGGCGTGGCTTGGTGGCCGTGGCTTGGTGGCCGTGGCAAGGGAAGGATACTGTAAAATCTCCATTCCCTCCCCACTCCAGGGGAAGGTTACTGCAAAATCCTCATTCCCTCCTGATCAGCTGGGACTCGGGAGGCAGAGAATAGATGGGGGTGGGGCCAGTCAGAGGTGGTATTTACCGGTTCTCCGAACTACTCAAAATTTCTGCTACCGGTTCTCCAGAACTGGTCAGAACCTGCTGAAACCCACCTCTGCTCATGACCATTTCACACATGTGACCGTTGCTGCATCCCCATGGTCATGTGATCAAAATTTGGACTTCGGTAAGTGCCTCATATTTATGACGGTTGCAAGGTCATGTGATCACTTCTGTTGGATTACAACAGGCCTGTCAAACTGGCAGCCCGCGAGCCGGATGCGTCACAAGCAGGCCACACCCACCCTGGCTCTGCAAAGGCAAAAATGTGGTGATACGTCATGCGACGCAATCGAATTGGACACCTGTGGAGTAGAAGACTTCCAAGGTCCATCCCACTCTGTTATTGTTATTTTTTGTTAATTTGGGTCTGCCCGCTCCTAATCCAGCCCTTTAACCCCCTACTACAGGGAGTGCTCGACTTACATCAGTTCATTTAGTTACAACGGCACTGAAAAATGATTCATTTAACGACCGTTCAAAGTTACAATGGCACTGAAAAGAGTGACTTGTGACCAATTTTCACACTTGCAGCATCCCCCATGGTCAAGTGATCAAAATTCAGACGTTTGGCAACCGATTCATATTTATGACGGTTGCTGTGTCCCGGGGATCTTGTGCTCCCTGTTTGTGACCTTCCGATGAGCAAAGTCAACAGGGAAGCCAGATTCACTTAACAACTGAGTGACTCACTTAACAACTGCGGTGATTCACTTAACCACAGTGGCAGGAAAGGTCGTAAAATGGAGCAAAATTCACTTAACCAATGTCTCACTTAGCAAAAGACGTTTTGGGCTCAATGGTGGTCATAAGTCGAGGACTACCTGTACGGCAGTTCTCATTAAGCATGATGTCTTCACAAGTGAAGGCAACAGTCAGCTATTTCAACAGCCAATATCTTTGCCCCCCCTTGAGAGTTTTTTGGCTCCCGTTTGAGGGCCTTCCAGTCAGCCGTACACCTTGTGCCAGCTGGCCCCGTGGCTGTGTGCCGTACGAAGAAAAGCAGACAAAGGGGAAGACTTCTTCACACCTCAGCTACTGAGCCTAGAGAACCTGCTGTTAAAAGACGTGGTGATGACAGCCGAGAGGTGGAGTGTGACAAAAGAGGGAAAGGTGATTTGAGAATCAGCCTGAGCAGTGAGATTCTAGTCACTAATTTAATGCTGAGCCGCCTTGAACCCTGTATCCCCGTCACACGCTTCCTTCTCCCCCGCCCCCCTTAATTTCATTGTGTCGCACCAAGAGGTCACCTCTGAAAAGATCTCGGGTTGCTTCAAGGGCAGTGATGCCCGGATAACTCCTTTCAGGGAGACAAAAGTACTTTCCTTACATTTTATAAGCTTCTGGGTTTTGTCGATCAGACATCTACAGGCCATAATATGTTATTTTTCTAGGGATTAAGGCATCTGGCTAGAAACTAGGAGATTGAGAGTTCTAGTTCCGCTTTAGGCATGAAAGCCAGCTGTATGACTTTGGTCCAATCCAGAGGTGGGTTTCAGCAGGTTCTGACCAGTTCTGGAGAACCGGCAGCGGGAATTTTGAGTAGTTCGGAGAACCGGTAGTAAAAATTCTGACCTGCCCTGCCCCCATCTATTCTCTGCCTCCCAAGTCCCAGCTGATCAGGAGGAAATGGGGATTTTACAGTATCCTTCCCCTGGAGTGGGGAGGGAATGGAGATTTTATAGTATCCTTCCCGTCATGCCCACCAAGCCACACCCACAGAACCGGTAGTAAAAAATTTTGAAACCCACCACTAGTCCAATCACCAGGAGACTATGAATTTGAGTCCCGCTTTAGGCATGAAAGCCAGCTATATGACTTTGGTCCAATCACCAAGAGACTGAAAGTTCTAGTCCCGCCTTAGGCATGAAAGCTAGCTGTATGACTTTAGTCCAATCACCAGGAGATGGAGAGTTTGAGTCCCGCCTTAGGCATGAAAGCCAGCTGTATGACTTTGGTCCAATCACCAGGAGACTGTGAGTTTGAGTCCCGCCTTAAGCATGAAAGCCAGCTGTATGACTTTGGTCCAATCACCAGGAGACTGTGAATTTGAGTCCCGCCTTAAGCATGAAAGCCAGCTGTATGATTTTGGACCAATCACCAGGAGACTGAAAGTTTTAATCCCGCCTTAGGCATGAAAGCCAGCTGTATGACTTTGGTCCAATCACCAAGAGACTGAAAGTTCTAGTCCTGCCTTAGGCATGAAAGCTAGCTGTATGACTTTGGTCCAATCACCAGGAGATGGAGAGTTTGAGTCCCGCCTTAGGCATGAAAGCCAGCTGTATGACTTTGGACCAATCACCAGGAGACTGTGAGTTTGAGTCCCGCCTTAGGCATGAAAGCCAGCTGTATGACTTTGGTCCAATCACCAGGAGACTGTGAGTTTGAGTCCCGCCTTAAGCATGAAAGCCAGCTGTATGACTTTGGTCCAATCACCAGGAGACTGTGAATTTGAGTCCCGCCTTAAGCATGAAAGCCAGCTGTATGACTTTGGACCAATCACCAGGAGACTGTGAGTTTGAGTCCCGCCTTAGGCATGAAAGCCAGCTGTATGACTTTGGACCAATCACCAGGAGACTGAAAGTTCTAGTCCAGCCTTAGGCATAAAAGCCGGCTAGTTGATTTTGAGCCAATCACCAGGAGACAATGAGTTCTAGTCCTGCCTTAGGCATGAAAGCCAGCTGGGTAACTTTGGACCAGTTCAGCTCAACCTACCTTCCTACCTCATTGGGTGGGAAATAGGAGAAGGAAGGAATGTTAGGTATGATCGCCACCTTGATTTATTTATAAAAATAATAAAGGCAGGATTAAATGCTGACTTTGTAAACCACTTAGAGAGGACTGTAAAGCACTATGAAGCTGTACATAAATCTAAGTGCTATTGCTATGGCTATTGCAGGCTAACTCTGCCCACTGCCAGGAGTTCAATCCTGACCAGCTCAAGGTTGACTCAGTCTTCCATCCTTCTGAGGTGGGTAAAATGAGGACCCAGATTGTTGGGGGGGGGGCATAGGCTGACTCTGTAAACCGCTTAGAGAGGCTGTATAAAGCACTGTGAAGCGGTATATAAATCGAAGTGCTATTGCTACTCACCTCCAGAGCTGCCATTCGCACCACCTGGTTGCTGTGGTAGAAGAAGTTGGGGAGCACATCGAAGATGGAAGTCTCGGAAAGGATAAGTTTCTGGGGGAGAGGAAAAGAGAAGATACGTTTTTTCTCCTTTTAACCACAGAATTTCAATTTATTTTTTTTTCTGCCTCAAAACCAGTGGCTGGGCCAACTGTTCACATAAGAAACGGCACAAGCAGATATAAAGGTTTTTCTTACGATCTTGTAAATGTTTGTTTATAGTGATAATCCTCAACTCACAACCATTTGAAGCTACAAGGGCACTGACTTACAACCTGTCCTCGTACTTACAACTGTTACAGCATCCCTAGGATCACCTGATCAGTAATCACTCCCGACTCGGGAGTAAGGCCAAGAAATGATTGGCCCCTCCTATAAAGCTTAAAAGACCAGCAATGGCTCTTGGCCTCTTTGCCGGAAAACAACCGTTGAGAGATTTGCTTCGTGTTTGGATGTATTTCTTTCTTGTCAGCGTCTTCTGTTCCTGAACTGTTGCCAAGAAAATCGTTTGGCAGTTTGCCTAATTATCCCAAGGTCAGAGATAAACTGAAGAATGGTGTTTTGAGAACTTTGCTTTCATTTCATCTGGAATACGCTGAGAATGCGTTAATTCTCAGCTGTTTTAATAAAATCTGTTTGTTTTTTGGAACTGTGTTTCATTTAATAGTCACAACGCTATGCTTATCTACAGAGCAGGATGTCCACTGCATCTCTGTCTGAGTGTCCGTACTGGATGCGCCTCTTCCCAATCGCCCTCTTTACAGGTAGTCCTTGACTTACGACCAGGATTGAAACAAACACTTCTTTTGTTAAATGCGACAGTTGTTAAGCAGGGCTTGCCCCGTTTTATGACCTTTCTTGCCATGGTTGTTAAGTGAATCCCTGTGTCAACCCTGAAGTTGGCTGAACTGTGGCCATTTTCTTTTTGGTAGTTTTCTCTAGGGAGGTTTCTCTTCTCACAGCTTCCCCATGGACTTTGCTTATCAGAAGGTTTCAAAAGGAGATCTCGTGACCCAGGGACACTGCGACCGTCATAAATGTGGTCTGTTGTCAAGCATCCAAATGTAAGTCACGTAACCATGGGGATGCTGAAACGGTCATAAGTTGGCTGAGCCTTCCATCCTTTCGAGGTAGGTAAAATGAGGACCCGGATTGTGGGGGCAATAAGCTGACTTTGTATAAAAAAGAACACCGCTTAGTGGGGGCCAAAAGCCCTACTAAGCAGGTATATACAAAAGTATGAAGGCTATTGCTTAACGCATTGTAAGCCGCCCTGTCTCTGGAGAAGGGCGGCATATAAATCAAACCAATAAATAAATAAATAAGTGTGAAAAATGGTCACAAGTCACTTTTTTCAGTGTCATAACTTCGAATGGTGACTAGAATAGAATAGAATAGAATAGAATAGAATAGAATAGAATAGAATAGAATAGAATAGAATAGAATAGAATTCTTTATTGGCCAAGTGTGATTGGACACACAAGGAATTTGTCTTGGTGCGTATGCTCTCAGTGTACATAAAAAGACAAGATACATTCGTCAAGAATCATAAGGTACAACACTCAATGATAGTCATAGGAAACAGTATCAATATAAATCATAAGGATACCAGCAACAAGGTTACAATCATACAGTCATAAGTGGAAGGAGATGGGTGGTGGAAACGATGAGAAGATTAATAGCAGTGCAGACTTAGTAAGCAGTTTGACAGTGTTGAGGGAATTATTAGTTTAGCAGAGTAATGGAGTTCAGGAAAAAACAGTTCTTGTGTCTAGTTGTTCTGGTCTGCAGTGCTCTATAGCGTCGTTTTGAGGGTAGGATTTGAAACAGTTTATGTCCAGGATGTGAGGGGTCTGTAAATATTTTCACAGCCCTCTTTTTGACTCATGCACTATACAGGTCCTCAATGGAAGGCAGGTTGGTAGTAATTGTTTTAAGTGAACTAAGTGAACTGTTGTAAATTGAGTATACCTGTATACCTTTTTTTACCTGTAGAATTTCTGAAAAATCATCACAAAAATGCTTGATTTTTACAATTCGACCCAAAGTTCCATCATCTTCCTTACCTGCAGATTCTCGATGCAGAACTGATGTCCGTACATGTCGATAGCCGAGAGGAAGATGGATTCCACCTGATTGTGACGGAGTTCGTAGGAAGGCAGGTGGGAAGCAATGAGCACCTAAAGCAGGAAACAAAAAGTTGCAGGTTGTATGAACGTTACTCAGGGACTGGAAGAAAGTGTGAAACTGAGGAATTTCAAAGATGGGGTTCAGGATCAGGCCTGGTTTTAATTCAAAGCCTTTATGGTCATTGTACATCATGTATACAAAATGAAATTGGTTTAGTCTGTACTGGTGCAGTCCAAACAAGAATACAAGACAACATGAATAATATAAAGAATAATAAAGCTATGGGGTGGCACAGAAGGCCTTGGGGAAGATATTTGGATGTCACGAGGTGTCTATTCCTGCAAAGATAGCAGCCCAACTTCCCAAGCCAAAAGTTGGACTTTTGAAGAAGCAACATTGAAAGAGTATTGATGCTTTTGAACTTTAGCGCTGGGAGAAGATTCTTGGATAGCCAAAAAAGAAAACAAATGGATTTTCAAACATATGAACCCATGAGCGCAAATAACCAGGCTCAAATTGTCCTACCTTGGACACATTATACAAAAATCTAGGTGCCTCATTTCTTCGGCCTCTAATTACAGGTAGCCCTCAATTTATGACCCTCATCGAGCCCAAAATTTCTGTTGTAAATTTCTGTTGCAACCGTCGTAAAGATCAGTCAGTTGCCAAACATCTGAATTTTGATCATGGCACCATGGGGATGTTGCAATGGTCACAAGTCACTTTTTTCAGTGCCGCTGTAATTTCGAACGGTCACTAAATGAACTGTTGTAAATCAAGGACTACCTACATCAGGATTTAAAAAAAAAACACGAAAATGCATGTTTCCCTCCTTTTCTTTTTCTTTCCTTCTTTTTTCCCCCTGCTTTCCAATTTCTAGAATGGAAATGAAAAGAACGACGGGATTTTTTTTAAAAAAAAGGAAGCTTCCACCGGGGTAGAATTATTGAGAGACAATTAGATTCATCTCTTTCCCCGCATCCACGCTATTTTAATTATACAGAAAAGTCGCTAGCAGTGGAGAGCTCTCCAGGTACAGAGTTGGCATTTAAATTGGAATGCGAAAGGGGGAAGTTAAGAAAGGGGCAGGGGGAAAAAAACACACAAATCAAGGTTTTATTTGAATCTGGAAAAGAAAGGAAAAATTCAACCGCCCCGGGGGGAGCCATTAACGAAGACCGCTGCTTCTTCTTACACAGTGAGTTGGGGTTTTCTTGCTGAAGTCGAAGCAATATGTTTTGTCTTCTGCTCCTGTGATTTGTACTACCTGTTTCCCTGAAAATAAGACCCTGTCTTATATTTTTGCCACCAAAAAAAAGGCACCAGGTCTTATTTTCAGGGGATGTCATCCACTGACTCACGACACTTGAAAATGCATCCTTTTCGCTGTCAGAGGCTTTCAGGAACTTCTTCTACAGCTGACGAGGCCAACAAGGCTTTCCTGAAGGCAGTGATAGGATTCAAGTAATTTAACAACCGGTTCTCTGCCCTAATGATTTCTTCCAACAACCAGTTCACCAAACTGCTCAGAAAGTTAACAACTGGTTCTCCCGAAGTGGTGCGAACTGGCTGAATCCCACCACTGCCTGAAGGCCTCTGCAGCCGATAACAGCGCTCCGGATCGATCTGCAGAAGAAATGGGCCGGCGAGGCAAGTGTCGGGGTGTGCGAGGCTTGGCTGCAACTGTCCGAAGGTAAGTAGTAGGGCAGCTCCACCACCACATCCCGATCCCAGCTTAATTTTTACTCATGTACCCTGGAGTGGACGGGGTCTTAATTAGGGCTTATTTGGGGGGTAGGGCTTATATTGGGCACATGTGTAAAAATCAAGCTAGGGCTTACTTTCGGGGTAGGTCGTATTTTCGGGGAAACACCGTATGTCTTTCAGACCAGTCCCAGGGCACACAGGTTGCCAGTTGGGTGCCAGAAAATGACACTGGGCGAAATAGGACACAGTGTTGTGGCTCTATTACCTGAGCCTGTGTCATCGGCAGGAGAGGACTCCGAGAGTGAAGGAGAGGAGTTGGCAAGGCCTCCCTCTCCAGGACCCTCCTCTTTGGCAATGCCTTCGGTGTCCGCCGAAGGGCAAGAGATAGGGCCGGGGCCAAGCACGTCCATGCAGCCACAGGTGGACAACGATGAGGGAAATGAGTCTTGGCTGGATCCTCGACAGCATCACAGAGATAAGCGCGCGCAACAGAAGAAAAGGCGTGCCAGAGATTAGGCTGAGTCACTGGACCACACCCCACAGGGTATAAAAGGGAGCGTGGTGGCCAGTCAAGCCTTGTGACGAACAAAGCTGAAAGCTTCCATGCCATTCTGCATTGCCAGACTTTTGCTATAGACTTTGCTGGATTATATTCGGACTTAATTTACTCTGTAATTATTGAACATTTTACTTTGATGTACCAGAAGCAGAGAGAAGTTATCTCTTCCCTTCGTGAGTAATAAACTCTTGGCAGGCAGCCACTAGATTGCTGCCAAGTTCCGTTATCATAAGGAAAAGGATTTTGTCGGCTGGTTTGGTATTTAACTCTTGGACGTCTGTTGGTGTGTGTGCGTGTGGGACGGGGACAGAACACACTGCCACAGAGAAACCAGGGGGAAGTTGAATAATTGAATCTCTTCATCAGATGCTCCTGAGCATGAGATGTTCTTTTCCTACTGTCCTAGCTTAAGGTCATCAGGCCACCAGGCTATAGAGCCACAAGAAACTTATGGGAAGATCAGGAGAAGGGATGTGACAAGAACTGATTTACAACCATGTGTTCAAAGTTAAAACAGCACTGAAAAAAAGTGACTCATGGCTGTTTTCACACTTACGGCCGTCTCAGCATCTCCATGGTGACATCATCAAAATTCAGACGCTTGGTATTTCAAGACATGGGATAAATTTTATGATTGGTTAGAAAAGAAATATGAATAAGGATATAGAAATAAAATTGATAGAGAATGGATGGGAGAAAACAATTAGAAAAATAGATACCCAGATGATGTCAAGTAAAAGGAGAAAGAGGAGGGGGGGCTAAAAGGGAAAAAGTGAGGTATTATAAAAATGTACACAAATGATGAAATAAAAATAAATAATAATTGAATAAGAAATTGAAATGCGAATAAAGATAATTAGAAAATCGGGGCTGCTTGAATACCACTTTAGATTGAACTTTAAAGGGAAACAACAGGAGAGAGGGGAAGGAGTAGAGAGAGAGAAAGGAAGGGAGAAGAGAGGAGAAGAGAGAAGAGGAGAGGAGAAAGAAGAAAGGGAAAAGGAGAGGAAGAAAAGGGAGGGGAAAGAGGAGTAGAGGAGAAGGTTAGAAGGGGGAAGAAGAGAGGAGTGGGGGAAGAGAAGGGGAAGTAGGAAAGAGAAGGAGAGAAAGAACGAAGGAAGTAGGAGGAGAGAGAGGAAGGAAGAGAAGGGGAGGAGAAGAAGAAAGGTTGGAGTAAAGGTAAAGGGTAAAAGAGCAGCCCCGAAAAAGTAAAAATGAAAAATGAAAGTTAAAAGAAAAGATGAATGAAAAATGATGGAAATGACTGTACATGTAAATGTGTTTATGAGAAATAAAAATAAAAAACTTTATTAAAAAAAAATTCAGACGCTTGGCAACTGATTCATATTTATGACGGTTGTTGTGTCTCGGGATCACGTTTTGTGACCTTCTGATAAGCAAAAGTCAACGGGGAAGCCAGATTCACTTAACAACCATGTTATTAAACTTAACAGCTGCAGGGTTAGGGTTTAACTGCTGTTAAGCAACTGGACTTTGTTTTTCTTTGAAGACATTTCGCTTCTCATCCAAGAAGCTTCTTCAGCTCTGACTGGATGGTGGGGAATGGAAGCGAAATGTCTTCAAAGAAAAAGAAGAAAGTACAGTCACCTCCTAAAAAAGCACCTTCAGGAGAATTATGATCTGGATGACTGAGAACCTCCATAGACATTCACCCTTATTTATCTGTTACCTGGCGGGCTCGTAAGGCCACTCTGGCGTTGGTGGTCTTACTCAATTGGGTCAGTTCCGTCAGAATGTTGATCAGCTCATCGGTCAATGTTGGATCTCGGCCACACAACTGATCCTACCAAGAAAACAAAGAAACTCTTAATAACGAAAGAAGATTAACAAAGTAGAAATAAATACATATATAGATAGCTATATATAAGCATAGATACTATAAGTAATATTACCATTGGACTGTACTTGACTATAGATTAAAATATATAGAGTGACAAGTGTATAGAGTGTTAAGGGATAACTATGAGGATAACGGTTATTAACGAAGACGTACAAGATTATGTATATTTAAAAGAGACTACATTGTACAATTATGAGAATAATGGTTATAATCATGGTATATAATACTATGTATGCTTAAAAGAGACTTGATACAGACAGTACACTCTCGTTGCAAAAATGGAAACGTGATGTAAAATAAAGGAAAATGTATAATAAAAAACAATATATAACAATATAATTTATATAATATATATATAAAAAAAAAGAAAACAAAGAAACTCTTGTTTTCACTAAAGGAATTTGGAAGCCAGATTCACTTAACAACTGCCGTGATTAACAACGGTGGCAAGGAAGGTCGTAAGATGGGGGGCAAAACTCACTTAACCGCTGTCTTGCTCTAACAACAGAAATTTGGGGTTCAACTGTGGTCGTAAGTGGAGGAATAGCTGTAAGTCACTCCAATAGAAGTGACTCTAGATTCAATCTTAGCAGCTCTTCCACCAGACTTATGGAAAACGGCAGTGGTTCCTGCTGGAAAGCCCTCAGAAGGACTATAGAGGTGGACCACCCCAAAATGGAAAAGCAGTTTAAAACCCCATCCTGGCAAGACGGATTCACCAACACAGATACCCCCAAAAAATGCAAGGCGCGCAGCAGCGTTCCCCAGCTTTCAGCCTGCCCCGATCGGCAAAGGCGGTGTGCGAAGCCTCTGACGTGTTCTTTGACAAGGCCTAACGCCTCTCCAGCACCCCCATGTAATTACACACTTGAGTGACTGGACTCTGAAGAAAATTGAAGGCCTGAGCTGCGAACAGCTGCCATTTTTTCTCTCCATCATGCCGGCATGATTACTTGAGAAATGAACAGCCTCAGCTCAAAGCTACTCCAGAATTCTCAGAGGAAATATGGCTCCGTGTTCAAATAATGAGATTCTTAAGGCAAGCGTTACTTACAATCACATGGCAAGGAAAAAAAAGAGGAAAGGAAAGGAAAGGAAAGGAAAGGAAAGGAAAGGAAAGGAAAAGAAGGAAAGGAAAGGAAAGGAAAGGAAAGGAAAGGAAGGAAAGGAAAGGAAAGGAAAGGAAAGAAAGGAAAGGAAAGGAAGGAAAGAAAGGAAAGGAAAGGAAATGAAGAAAGCATGGGAAGGAAACAGAGAAGAATAAAAAGAAGGGAAAGGAAAAGAGAAGGAGGAGAGCAGAGCAGAGCATGGGAAGGAAATAGAGAAGAATAAAAAGAAGGGAAAGGAAAAGAGGAGGAAAGGACAGCATGAGAAGGAAATAGAGAATAAAAAGAAGGGAAAGAAAAAGAGAAGGAGGAGAGGAGAGGAGAGGATGGGAAAGAAATAGAAAAGAAAAAGAAGGTAAAGAAAAAGAGAAAGAGGAGAGGAGAGAGCATGGGAAGGAAACAGAGAATAAAAAGAAGGGAAAGAAAAAGAGAAAGAGGAGAGAGCATGGGAAGGAAATAAAGAAGAATAAAAAAGAGAAATAAAAAGAGAAGAAGGAAGAGAGGAGAGAGGAGGGGAGGGGGAAAGCATGGGAAGGAAACAGACAAGAATAAAAAAGAAGGGAAAGAAAAAAGAGAAGAAGCAAAAGAGAGGAGAGGAGAGGGGAAGAGAGGAGAGGGAAGGCGAATGAGGAAAGGGGGAAAGGGGGATGGGAGGAAGACTGGAAAAAGGGAAGAAGGTGAAGGGAGTGTGAGTGTGTGTGTGTGTGTGTGTGTGTAAGAAAGAGAGAGATCTTCATATTGCACGGATTAGTATTTAAGTAAGACCATAGCGGTATGTATAGCCATCACGTATCGGCTGTTGTAAGATACGTGTTTGCCCGCAAGAAGAAAAAACAGTCTCTTGTTTAAAGTTTTAGCTGGGCAAATCCATTTCTACCAAATGCACCACATCTTGAGCAAAAAGAGAGAAAAAGATGCAGAAGAGGCTTGGGAAGCTCAACTCTATCAATTAGCATCTTTGAACGCATGACGCAGACAGTGATGTTATGGAGGCCATCAATCCCGGGGTTAACTCTCCCACAGGCTACATAAATAAGGCATTTTTCTTCAGCTCAACTATATTTTAAAAATACCGGGCGTAGACCAATATTTTTTACTCCTCCTAGGAAAAGGGAAAGGCATTATTTGCTTTTGTCCTTTTAGTTGAAAAAGATGGGATTGGAGATTTGAAGGACATCAGTGGCCAACCCAGAAGAATTGCCTCAGCACCTCCGGTCCAATGTTTAAATGAGACATTCTGAGGCAAAATAAAGAGATTATTATCAGACCTCAAGAATGGCGGATGGCTGCGGTTGGTGAATTTTAGGGGGAAGGCATAAAGAATGCAAAACGAGGACCAAGTCTGGCTATCCAGTTTGAAAAGGTTAATGCTATTAAAACAGCTGCTTAACACACAGTTGTAATATGCAGGTGATACTCTAAACCAGGGGTCTCCAACCTTGGCAACTCTAAGCCTGGAGGACTTCAACTCCCAGAATTCCCCAGCTGGCTGGGGAATTCTGGGAGTTGAAGTCCTCCAGGCTTACAGTTGCCAAGGTTGGAGGCCCCTGCTCTAAATAATTGTTCTTCCATAGGGAAAACAGTCCAATATTTTGAAGGGGAAGCCAAATTTCTCCCCCTTTCATCTTTTCAAAATGGAGAATTTTGTCTTTCGCATCTCAAATTGTCTTTTGATATATCTTTGCGGATTGTGCTGATCCATGTATTCCACAGCAGTGTTTTTTTCCAATCTTGGCAAGTTTAAGATGGGTGGACTCCAACTACCAGAATGCCTCAGACAGCAACCAAGATGTTTGGACTTCAACTCCCAGAATTCCCCAGGCAGCAACTTCAAGATGTGTGGATGTCAACTCCCAGGGATTTTGCCTGGGGAATTCTGGGAGTTGAAGTCCACACATCTTAAAGGTGCTGAAGTTGAGAAACACTGACCTACAACTTTGTTATTATTTTTATTTAGCAGAGTGCATAATAATGTATATAAACATTCTTCTAGGCCCAAACAGGTAGAAACAGTACTAAATTGCTGACACATAAAGAGTATTCTCCGAAGAAATCTATTCCATTCCCCTTTCCAGTGACCACTGATCATATTTAGTCCTAGTTGTGGCATTTTAAAACAATAGTAGTGACAAGAATGCCCGTAGGTGAATTGGGTGGCATACAAGTTTGGTAAATAGATAGGTATCACTCCATCACTGGAAGTTTTTGTCTGAAATGAGGTAGGATCTCCACCCTGAGCAGTGGGTTGGACTAGAAGGCCTCCAAGGTCCCTTCCAACTCTATATTTCTGCTATTCTGTTTGTTCTGACCTAGGCTCCCTTAACAGGCAGGAATTGGTCCCGGCAAAACCTCTTTTATTTACACGACTGTGAATTCCGTTCATTCACAGTCAGCAAGGCCTGTCCAAACAGTTTTTCAAAGGAATATTTCTCAACACATCTTAACTCGCTTGGCAAGCTGCCACGTAACTCGTTTCCAAACACAGTACAAGGCCAAACTTGGCAGAGTCTCTCAGAGTCATGGAATGAACAAATTGTTTCCTGCAAAAGCCCACTCCCTGTTCGCTCCTCTTTTATTTTCTATGGGAGGGGCCAATCACCTCCAAGGTGTGGCTTTACTCCCGAGTCGACCCTGCTTTCTGAGTTGTTCTTGTCTTCTGGCAGCTCTGTGCATACGCACACTGGGAACGGGCTCCAGCTGTTCCTCTGCCTTGCTGCCGTCTAACTCTCTTTCTCCCTCCGACGTCATCAGAGTTTTCCCCAGCCTCCAGGACTGGCCCAAGTTCCTCCCCAACCTCCTCACTGTCCGACTCTGCTGCCAGCGGCCACGACACTGTTAAATAAACATATGTAGACTCCAACTTCCAGAATTCTGGCTGAGGAATTCTGTGAGACCCATGTCTCAAGCTGTTGAGATTGAGTGCCAAATGGTAGGCCTGCTCTAGTATCAGCAGTTCCGCCCCACGGCTTTAAATCTGAAATGAGTCATTACTACAGATCGATCATACCCTTTTTAAAACTCCTAGGTACAACTCTCGGTTATATTTCAAATGGTTTGCTAAAGAGCGTGAAAGAAATTGTGCCCGAGAGCTTCACTTACAATGAGCATTGTCACAAGGAGGTTCTTCTTGGTCACCTGGGCGTGGGAAAAGATGTAGTTGAGCACAGTGTTCATATCGCTTTTGTTCTCCTCTCGAAGAGCAAAGACGCACTTATCATAGTGACCTGCAATCAAAAAGCCAAATATGACATATATTAAATAAGAGATGCTTGATTATAAGAAGGGTGGCGTGATGGTTAAGATGCTGGTGTGAGCGTTCTGAGTGTTGTGGCCTGCCAGTGGCCAGTGGAGCTGGAAGCAGAGTGTTGTGACCCAGGCCCAAGTAAGTAGTAGGAAAATCAGTCGGTGAAAAAACAAACAAACTTTATTCGAACAGCTGAGAATTACTTCATTCCCAGCGTCGTTCAACTAAATTAAAGCAAATTCCTCCGAACACAAATTCCTCAGTCCTATCGCAAACCTTGGTCCAATTAGGCAAACTGCCGAAGGCCTTTCTTGGCAAACGTTCAGAAGTCACAGATACAAAAATAAATACAAGACGTAGACGAAGAAGAAGATGAAACTACCAATGTTGTTTTCCGGCAAAGCCCAAATGTCGTTGCTGGTCTGTTTTAAGCCTTACGGGAGGGGCCAATCATCTCTTGGCCTTACTCCCAAGTTGTCCTCTTTGCTTGAGCTGCTCTTGCCTTCTGGCAGCTCTTCTCATGCGTGCATTAGGAACAGGCTCCTCCTGTTCCTCTGCCTCACTCCTATCAGGCTCTGGAGGCTCTGGAGTCCGCACCTCACTCCCCGATGGCCCTGGCCCCTTCTCTGCCTCTGACGCAGAGCCCTCAACCGGGCCTTCCCCAGCCTCCAGGACTGGCCCATGTTCTTCCTCAGCCTCATCGCTGTCCGACTCCGCTGCCAGCTCCACAGGCTGCTGGCGGACCACAACACAGAATCAAACAGTGAGGAGGTTGGGAAGTAACTTGGGCCAGTTCTGGGGGCTGGGGAAAGCTCGGACGAGGGCTCTGCGTCAGAGGCAGAGAGGGAGCTAGACAGCAGTGAGGCAGAGGAACAGCTGGAGCCTGTTCCCAATGTGTGCATGTGCAGAGTTGCCAGAAGACAAGAACAACTAAGAAAGCAGGGTTGACTTGGAAGTAAAGCCACACCTTGGAGGTGACTGGCCCCTCCCATAGGAATCAAAAGAGGAACAAATGGGGAAGGGGCTTTTGCAGGAAACAATTTGTTCGTTCGGTCATTTCAAGCGTGGAAAGTTCTGTTTGTGACTATAAAAGATTCTGTGCCAAGTTTTGCCTTGCCCTGCATTTGAAAACCAGCTATCTGGCAGCTTTCCAAGCAAGATAAGGTTTGTGGATAAATGTTCCTCTGAAAGACTGTTTGCCAAGAGTTCGTATTCATGGCTCACGCAGACAGTATTGGAGAACTAACTGAAATGGGGTTGATGGGGAGGAGGCAGAGATGGATACGTTAAATTGAAGCAAAAGTACTTGCAATGCTCTTGCAGTGCTAATATGGAGAGGGAAGGGCTGGCCATTCTTACGGCTGTTACCCCGGTCAAGGGTAATGGGAAATCAGCTCTAAAAGCTCTCCCACTAGACTACGGTTAACCAGCCTGCCTGACACCGCTGGTGAAAGTTAACCATCCTTTAGAAAAGAACAATTTGAGTTGGCAAAGCCTTTTTGGGCTTTGACATCCCAGTACAAGGCTGCCATCTGGCGGCCTGACTGATTACAGCAGTGATTCTCAACCTTTGTAGCTTGAAAATGGGTGGACGTCAATTCCCAGAATCCCCCAGCCAGCAGCGCTGGCTGGGGGATTCTGGGAATTGACGTCCACCCGTCTTCAAGCTTCCAAGGTTGAGAAACACTGGATTACAGCTTCTTCTTCCCTGTTGTCAATATCCCTCATGCCAACCACCCTTGTTCGAAAATTCAAAATCCTGAATTGAGATGACCCACCGTGTTGGAACTGAGTTTCCACCTTGAGGTACTGCCGAAGCAAATCCATCACGACTGCCTTCATGTGACCTCGGATGCCACTTCGGTATCTGTAAGAGACCCCCTCTGATGAAAAGACTGAAGCAGATAAGCTTCGACATCATGGTTGAATTGTAAACACGCTTCCAGGATTCGTCTAGAGCAGGGGTGTCAAACTCGATTTCATTGAGGGCTGCATCAGGGTTGTATTTGACCTCAGGGGGAGGGAGGAACTCAAAATCACTCGTGTCGGGGGCACCTGTGGTGGCCTGGGTGGGGCTGAGGGGATCTATTGTCTCCAGTGGAGGAAGGCCAGACCAGGGAGAGCGTCAAACCCTTGTCCTTCAGAGGGGCCTTGCCCATCTGCTGGTGGCCAAGTGATAAGGCAGAACTTTCCTTCCTTCCTTCCTTTCTTCCTTCCTTTTCTTTTTTGCTAGCCCTCTGCCAACAAAAACGGAGCCAACAAAAAATGGATGGCCTCCTGCAGCCCTCGGCCAGCAAAAACAGAGCTTGGAGGGGGATGCGCAATCCTCCCGGGCCCCGTTTTCAGCCACGACAGCCTCCTGCAGCCCTCTGCCAGCGAAAACGGAGCCCGGGGGGGGGGACACAGGCACTGAGCCTGGGTGGGCCACACACAGCCCCCCCCCCAAGCTCCGTTTTCACAGTCTCCTGCAGCCCTCTGACTATCCAGGCCAGTGGTGAAATCCAATTTTTTTTTTACTACCAGTTCCGTGGGTGTGGCTTGATGGGCGTGGCAGGGGAAGGGTACTGCAAAATCCCCATTCCTTCCCCACTCCTGGGAGAAGGATATTGCAAAATCTCCATTCCCACCTCACTCTGTGGCCAGCCAGAGGTGGTATTTGCCGGTTCTCCAAACTACTCAAAATTTCCGCTACCAGTTCTCCGAACTGCTCAAAATTGCCACTACCGGTTCTCCAGAACCTGTCAGAACCTGCTGGATTTCACTCCTGGTCCAGGCTGAAAACAGGGCCTGGGAGGACTGTGTGCAGCCCTCCCGAGCTCCATTTTCACTGGCAGAGGCACCATGGGCCAGTCCGCTGTTTCCAGGGTGGCCCCGTGAGCCAGACCTAAGCACCCCGCAGGCCGAATCTGGCCTGCGGACCTTGAGTTTGACACCCCTGTCGTAGACCCAGTTGTAGGGCCTTAACTATTTATTATCGGGGTAGAGACTGGATTCTATCACAAAGCAGCCTATCGTTTGGTTTCTCCGTTCAGATTTTGCCAAGGATCACCTCTGTGATCACACTCACCTTTGAACCAGCTGCACAATACTCTGAGTGTTCATGAAGAAAACCTCACGCTCCGATTTGCGGTTTAAGGTGGCGGCGTGACTGTCCAGGATGTTGGCAATCTACAGGAAGAAAAGAAGCAAACTGGGATTGATACCCTCAAAGTTTTGGGCTTGACCGAAAAGGAGGAAAAGGGGGAATGGACATACAACAGACAGAATCCGACACCTCATGTCCAAATTTAGCACATGTGGCTTTCTTTTTCGAAAGAGCAAACTTCTAACTCCGTAAGGTTGCAAAAATTAGGCCGGCCTAATTTCTAAAATTAAAATCATGGACAGAGAAGATTTTGAGGAGAAAAAGTTTTGCTTGTTTGCTTATGACCTGTTTATACGTACAGGTAGTCCTTGACTTACGACAGTTTGTTTAGTGACTGTTCAAAGTTATAACAGCAGTGAAAAAAGTAACTTGTGACTTCTTGCACTTATGACCGTTGCAGCATCCCCGTGGTCATGTGATCAAAATTCGGACGGTTGACAACTGATTTCTTTTTATGACGGTTGAAGAATCCCGGGATCATATGATCCTAATTTGCGACCTTCTGACAAACAAAGCCAAGGGGGAAGCCAGATTCACTTATCAACCATGTTACTAACTGAACCACTTGACAACAGGGCAAGAAAAGTCATAAATTGGGGCAAAATGCACTTAACTGTCTTGCTGAACAAAAGAAATTTGGGGCTCAATTGTGGTCGTAAGGCGAGGACTACCTGTAGTCCTTGTTTATCAATATAATTGGGACGGGTGCCTCGACTGCTAAGTAAAGCGGCTGCTAAGTCAAACTGCAACAATGCTTATGATCCGATTTCAGATTTCCTTGTCACTGCTTGGCAAACCTGCTAGGCTCGCTAAATGAGGCAGTCACTAAACAAGAACTAGCTCTTCGGCTAGTCCTCCTTTATTGACAGTAATTGGAGACTGGAAACACCAGCACTAAGCAACATGGGAGTTTACTTCCATTTTCCAGCAAAAAACCCCTCCACAACAACAACGGATTCACTTAATGTCTACTGCATTTGTTTAACAACGGTCGCAAAACAGATTGCAAAATCGGGCAGTTACCTAGTGATTATCCACTTTATGGCTATCACAATTTACGATCAAACATCAAGGGCACAATTATGGTTGTAAGTTGAGGACTACCTTTCTAGGACTACCCATAAATTTTCATGGTGAGTCTGTTAAGATGGATATTTTCTGGAAAATTTGGAAACCATTCGTGGACTATGCGCTGGGAAAATTGGATGCTTCGGTACCTGTACCCCGAGAACGTGGATTTTGGCGATCATGAGGATATATCCGAAGAACCAAATCTTCCTTTCTTATGTATAGCACAGGGTGAAGTATTGTATATGTTGTTTGTAATGTTAGTAATTAAAAAAATTTTTAAAAAAATAAGACGGAGTCTCTGAATAATCTGAAATGTTTCTTCCCAAATTTCTTGCAAACTGAGCTACTTTCTTTGAGATTAGCAGCCAACAGCCTCACTTTCTTACCCTTCCTTGTTCAGGACTGCTCTCCCTTCCCTTCCTTCTCCCGGAATGGGACAATTCGCCGCGGCCAAATCACTACAGCCAACTTGCAGTGGGACAATTCAACAATTCAATTTGATTATTTAAAATAATGAAAAGTGCATTTTAATTTTTGCCATTCCCATTTCGTTCTGTCCCTCCTTTTGTATCCTTTCTTTAACAATTCTATTCCAACATTTCTTTGACATTAGTGTTTGATTGTCCAGCGGCGAGCTGTCCCACACTGAATTGACGACGGCGAGTTGGCCGCAGCAAATTGTCCTACCATGTTTCTCCGAAAATAAGACCCTGGCTTATATATTTTTTGCCACCAAAAAAGGCACCAGGTCTTATTTTTGGGGAATGTCTTCTACTGACTCACCTCGTGGCAGCGGCACCAATGGCCCTGCCCAGCAGAAACCCACTGCTGGCCCACTTCTTCTGCGTCCGCTTGCCGTCACTTGTGTGCGTCGCCCCCGGCCTCTGTTTTGCCATCAGAGGCCTTCAGGAAAGATCTCTGCAGCTGAGAAACAGGCTCCCGATTGACGCATGCGGCACCTCCCGGCCTGGTTTCGCTGTCAGAGGCCTTCAGGAAAGGCATCTGCAGCCGAGAAACGAGCTCCGGATTGGAGCTGAGGGCCTCTGATGGCGAAATGGAGGCCGGGGTGACGCGCGCAAGTGGCCACAGAAGAAATAGGCCTGCAAAGCGAGGCAGGTGTCATGCTGTGTGAGGCCTAGCTGCAACTGTCTGAATGTAAGTAGGGCTGCTCCACCCCACTATCCTCACCCTAGCTTGAATTTTTTTACCCATGTGCCTCACCCCACCCCATGCAACCCGGAGTGGGTAGGGTCTTAACTAGGGCTTATTTTGGGGGTAGGGCTTATATATTGGGCACACATGTAAAAATCAATTTAGGGCTTACTTTTGGGGTAGGTCGTATTTTCGGGAAAACATAGTACCTAGATCCGTGATAGCGAACCTATGGCACGCGTGCCACCTATATTGGTGGGCATGCAAGTTCAGCTCCGGCACGTGCATGCTGATTTTTGGCCCTTCTGGGCCCACCGGAAGTAGGGAAACAGGCTGTTTCCTGCATCCAGAGGGCCTCCGGGGGTGTGGGGAAGGCCATTTTTGCCCTCCCCAGGCTCCTAGAAAGGCTCTGGAGCCTGGGGAAGAGCAAAAAAACGGCCTTCTGGTGCGACCAGAAGTTGGCAAATGGGCCATTTCTGGCATCCGGAGGTCCACCAGAAGGGTGGGGAAGGCCATTTTTGCTCTCCCCAAGCTCCTAGAAAGGCTCTGGAGCCTGGGGAGAGAGACAAACGGGCCTACCGTGCCATCGTGTGCCAGGAGTGGGAGGCAGGGGATCGCGTGCGCATATGCGGGGGTGAGGCACATAGAATTATGGGTGTGGGCACGTGTGCACGCGACCCCCTCCTCTCCCCCCCCGCTCCTGGCACGCGATGGAAAAAAGGTTAGCCATCAGTGACCTAGATCCTCCTTCCTCGTCCTCCTCACCATCTCTTACAATCAAGGATATTATTCTTTCATCTAACCTCTTTCTAGTCAGTTTCATTTCCGTTTGAACCCAGATCACGGGCAAAACTTTTCTTACCTGTTGGCTGGGAAACTGGCAGAGGACAGATGTGATGTTACTTGCATACTGTGCCATTTCTTTTTTGATGGATTTTTCCACGTTGGGGGGGATCCGTCCAGAGACACTGGTCATGATATCCTGGAGCTCCAGTAGAGGCAAGGATGGATCCCGGAGAGTCTTCATTAAGCGTTCAACCCAGTTTTTCACCTGAGTTAGAGATGGAGTTGAAAGTAAGTCAAGATAACAGGTAAATGAGTTTGTTTTCGGGAGGGAGGGAGGGAGGGAGGGAGAAAGGGGAGAAGGAAGGAAGGAAGGAAGGAAGGAAGGAAGGAAGGAAGGAAGGAAGGAAGGAAGGAAGGAAGGAAGGAAGGAAGGAAGGAAGGAAGGAAGGAAGAGCAGCATTAATCTAGGGCAGTGTTTCTTAACCTTGGTAGCTTTCAAATGTATGCACTTCAACTCCCAGAATACCTCAGTTAGCATGCAGTATTCTGGAAGTTGGAGTCCACACATTTGAAACCTGCTAAGATTGAGAAACCCTGACTTTGGATAATGTTCTGCAGATGTGCTAGAACTAAACAATGCAAGGTTAATTGGGCTGGGGATTCTTTGGAGAAGTTCTAACACATCTGGAAGCCCACCAGGGTGGAAAGACTGGCATAAGGCATTAAGATAGCAATAGCACTTAGATTTTTATACCGCTTTACAGTGCTTCACAGCCCTCTCTAAGCGGTTTACAGAGTCAGCATATTGCCCCCCAACAATTTGGGTCCTCATTTTACCGAACTCGGAAGGGTGGAAGGCTGAGTCAACCTTGAGCTGGTGAGACTCAAACTGCTGGCAGCGGGCAGAGTTAGCCTGTGCCATCACGGCTCTTAGACTATGGTTTATGCCAACACAAGGGGAAGAAAGAAAGCAACGGACGCTACCTTGGTGGTGAAATAGGGATCTGGAAGGCAGTATCCATTCATCACATTGAGTAGGTTGTCAAAGACATAATGGAAGATCCGGTGAAGCTTCTCACCCCGCATGGCTGTACTCTGGATCTGGGGCAAGGTTCCCAAATTGAGCTCAGCCTTGAGAGGACAAGAAAAACACAAGTCAGCCAGCGCTATGAGAGTTTTACCCATCCAATCATCTGCTTTATCTCAAAAGGGATCACTTTATCACTTTAGGAATCCCGAAGCCAGGCCTCCCACTCCCTGACACCTGTTGCGCCTCTGCCCAACTTCTTCTCTGGTTGTTTGGCGCATTGCGTTGGTGCCGCCACTTGTGGCAGGAGGGCGTGTGGTGCGTTGCTCCACAAGCAGCAGCACCAGCATGAAGTACCACGCGGCCTCCTGCCGCGAATGGCAGTACCAGGGTGATGAGTTACACAGCCTCCTACCAAAAGTGGCAGCATTGGCGCGATGTGCCACATGATAGTTAAACCGCGAGTGGCCACCGAAATCAGGCAGCGGCGCAAGAGATGTTGGGGCGTGGGAGGCCTAGCTGCAGGAGTCCTAAGGTAAGCAGGTGCGGGGCACATGGGGCAGCTCCACCCTCTCATCTAGCTTGTTTTTTACGCATGCACCTCACACCACCTCGTACAACCAGACAGTGGGACGGAGTGGGCAGGGTCTTAAATAGGGCTTATTTTTGGGGTAGGGCGTATATTAGGCACAAACGTAAAAATCAAGCTACAGCTTATTTTCGAGATAGGTCTTATTTTCAGGGAAACACGGCACGTATGATCTGGATTTGAAGTTCTGATGCCTCCCCCACACACACACACACTCACACACACACCAGCAGTCATATAACCCCATTTTGGTCACTCAACAACTATTTAAGGCTGTTTGCAGAGTCCTGCAGTCATGTATAATGTTTTTGCCGGAAACTAATTTTCAGCCAAAAATCACCTCACAGTAAGCAATGGCTTTGTTTTACAGCCTTTCTTGCCACAGTTGTTAAGTGAATCACTTCAATTGTTCGGTTACCCTGTTTCCCCGAAAATAAGACATCCCCTGATAATAAGGCCAATTGGGCTTTTGAGCGCATGCGCTAAAATAAGCCTCCCCATGAAAATAAGTCCTCCCCAAAATATTTAAACGCAGATCTGGAAATTTAATAATTACTCTTTATTAAACTATATAAGCTCAATGACATATATTCTGTTGATGACAAAAACGTATATGTAAAATGTTAGGTGGGTTTGTAGGTGGTGGGTTTTTTGTTTGTCTTTGTATTGTATTGTATTGTCTTTATATCTGTGTTTATATTTTAATAATATAAAAAAAAAAAGGAAATCAGAGATTTCCAAGAGGAAGTCCCATCTTGCTCCACGCGTCCCAAAATAATAAGACCTCCCCAAAAATAAAGCCAAGCGCTTATTTCGGGGTTCAAAAAAATTTAAGACAGGGTCTTATTTTCGGGGAAACACAGTAGTAACACGGTTGTGAAATAAATCTGGCTTTCCCATTGACTTTGCTTGTCAAAAGATCATAATAGATGATCAAGTAACCCTGGGACACTGCAACCGTCATAAGTATGAGTCAGTTGCCAAGCATCTGAATTTTGATCATGTGACCATGGGGATCCCGCAATGATTGTAAGCATGAAAAACGGTCCTAAGTCACTTTTTTCAATGCCATTATAACTACTAATGGTAACTAAATAAATGGATGAAAGTCGAGGACTACCTGTATAGTAATTGTGAGCTCAATTACGGTTGTAAGTCGAGCTACCTGTAGCCCAGGGGTGAAATGCTCCCGGTTCGGACCGGATCGCCTGATCCAGTAGCCATGGAGGCGGGTGGCTCGGAGAACCGGTAACAAAAATCCCTGCCCACCCCCACATTGCCCACCTGAGCTGCGCAATCATCAGAGGCTTTTTTTTATTATTTTTAAAAGCATTTTTTTTACAACCTCTTTGGCCGAAAAAATGCTTTTAAAAGAAAAAAAAAAGCCTCTGATGATCGCGCGGCTCAGCTGGGATCATCAGAGGCTTTTAAAAGCATTTTTTCTACAATCTCTTCGGCCAAAGAGGTTATAGAAAAAATGTTTTTTTTTAAAAAAAGAAAGCCTCTGCCGATCAGGCAAGTCAACTGGGATCGTCAGAGGCTTTAAAAGCATTTTTTTTTACAAAAAATGCTTTTTACAAAAAAATTTTTTTTACAAGAAATGATTTTAAAAGTAAAAAAAAAAAAGTTGGCCACGCCCACTCAGTCATATTCCCCCACCACCAAGCCACGCCTACGGAACCGGTAGTAACAAATTTTACATTTCACCACTGCTGTAGCCCAATCCAAGAAAAATACAAAAAGTCTCCTATCAATTATGAGGCAAAACTAGGAGTCCCGAAAAGTATTCTGGTGGGCCACGTTGTTATTATTCTTGTTAAATTTATTTGCCATCCGTCTTGCCATGGGGTTACATACATATTACTGTATGAGAGGTTGCTCATACAGACCTTGGATCCATTTCTTTCATTTCCTCCATCATGACCAACAATTTTTGGGCCCAACAAGTAGCCCCAGCCCCTAGCTGGCCTTCCCCAATCTCTAAAAGCTAACCATGTTTAAGAGCTGGCTGGTGCTTGGATGAGAGACCACCAGGAGATCACAAAACTCTAGGTCAGAGTGGGAAAAAAAGTCCCTTCCCTTTCACCCCCACCCAGAAAGAAAACAACAGGTGTCTCCAGAAGCCAAACCAATGTTTTTAGTTGAAATCTCTATGAAGAGACTAGAATAGAATAACAGAGTTGGAAGGGACCTTGGAGGTCTTCTAGTCTTTAGAGTAGAATCTGCTTAAGATTCTTAACTAATGAGCCAAATTGGGTTTAATTATTTTAAATTGCTTTATTTCACATTTTATATGTATGTTATTTATGACTGTTCACCGCCCTGAGTCCTTCGGGAGAAGGGCGGTATAAAAATTAAATAAATAAATAAATAAACCCCCTGCTTAGGCAGGAAACCCTACAGCACTTCAGACAAATGGTGATCCAATCTCTTCTTAAAAACTTCCAGTGTTGGAGCATCCACAACTTCTGGAGGCAAGTTGTTCCACTGGATAATCGTTCTCACTGCCAGGAAATTTCTCCTTAGTTCTAGGTTGCTTCTCTCCTTGATGAGTTTCCACCCATTGCTTCTTGTCCTGCCTTCAGGTGCTTTGGAGAATAGCTTGACTCCCTCTTCTTTGTGACAGCCCCTGAGATATTGGAACACTGCTATCATGTCCTCCTCTAGTCCTTCTTTTCATTAAACTAGACATTCCCAGTTCCAGCAACTTTTCTTCATATATTTTAGCCTCCAGTCCCCTAATCCTCTTTGTTGCTCTTCTCTGCACTCTTTCTAGAGTCTCCGCACCTTTTTCACATCATGGGAACCAAAACTGGATGCAGTATTCCAAGTGTGGCCTTACCAAGGCCTTATAAAGTGGTATTAACTCTTCACATGCCATTAAGCCTCCAAATTTACCTGTTGAACTCGGCTCGGGTCATCCAGTTGCATTTTAGCAATTATGCATCCTGGCTCAAGGGCTGCTCCCGGACGTTTCACATAATGGATGCAGCCCGATTCCGCTGCTGTGAGTGTCATCACCATCTTCATCACCTGAAAACAGCAGAACAAGAAGTTAAGCAAGAGTTTTCAGTTCTCTGTATTCCCGGGTCCTGCTGAGGTCCATCTCCTTTTGTAATTCTCTTGTATTTCCTATTAACTTATTTCACAGAGTTGGTATTAGGCTTCATTTAAGCAAGAAGGGATAAATATAGAAAGCTCATTAAAGGCACAGCCACACTTGGTTGTTACAGAAACAGAAACACTGGTAGTTCCAAAGGTCCTTTTTCAAGAGGCGACTGAACATTCTTGGTGTTTTTTTTTTTTTTTGAAGACATTTCACTTCTCACCCAAGAAGCGTCTTCAGCTTCGACAGGACAGTGGGGAATGGAAGAATTGTCCTGCCAGAGCTGAAGATGCTTCTTGGGTGAGAAGCGAAATGTCTTCAAAAGAAAAAAAACAAGAAACCTCAGTTGCCTCTTGAAAAAAGCACTTTGGGGACAATCATGACCTGGATGGCTGAGAAACTCTACAGACTTTTAGAAACACTGGTGGATCAAAGAAAACCTGCATTAGAAGTTTTCTGTTCAAACCTTTGATTACAAGAATCATTGAAACAAGCTTACTTTACCTGCAATTATGGCATCCAAAGATTACGCTTGCTACTGTTGTGACCTAGGCTTCCTGAGTCATTAAAACACACGCGTAGTCCCAAAAACCTCTTTTACTGCAACAGCTGTGAATTACATTCATTCACAGCTGAGTCCCAATTAGTTGCAAAAAGTCCTTCGGGAGAGGTCCTTCAGAATAATCACCCACCTTTATCTCCCTTGACACGCTGCCACAGACCTACTTGGCAAAGCCACACAGAGTCCAGAATCAAACAGAAATGCCAACTTGGAACAGAATTAACAACGTTGCTTTCCTGCAAAGTGCCCAGGTGCGTTTGCTCCTCTTTTAAGCCTTATGGGAGGGGCCAATTATCTCCAGGCCTTACTCCAGAGTTGTCCCTTTTGTTTTAACTGTTCGTGCCTTCTGGCAGCTCTGCGGATGCACGCACTAGGAACAGACTCTTAGTGTTCCTCTGCCTCTCTGATGTCCGACTCTGGAGGCTCTGGAGTCCGCGCATCACTCCCAGATGGCCCTGGCCCCATCTCTGCCTCTGATGCAGAGCCCTCGTTCGGGCCTTCCATAGACTCCAGGACTGGCTCATGTTCCTCCCCAGCCTCCTCACTGTCCGACTCCACTGCCAGCTCCGCAGGCTGCTGGCGGACCACAACAGTTGGTTTATGGCATTGTACATCTAATAATTCACATAACGTCAGGCATAAAAGCACGAAGACAACACCATGAGATTAAATCCCATTCCTTTCTTTTTTTAAACAAATTATTTGTATCCCACAAAAGGGGATCACATGATCTTGGGACACAGCAATGATCATAAATATGAACCAGCTGCCAGACATCTGAATGTTGATCACATGATCCTGGGGATGCTGAAAAGGTCGTAATTGTGAAAAACGGTAATAGGTCCCTTTTTTCAGAGGCGTCGTAACTTGGAACAGGCACTAAACGAACTGTTCTAAGTCAAGGTGTATATGTACTGTAGTTCACTTGACCTCTATTAAACTACACCTTTCTCAACAAATGGAGTTAAGGTTCAAGCTGAGGCAGGTCTGACTCAGAGTCACCCTGCTGGCTTTCACGCCTAAGGCGGAACTAGAATTCACAGTCTTCTGATGATTGGCCTAAAGCAGTGTTTCTCAACCTTGGAAGCTTGAAGATGGGTGGACTTCAACTCCCAGAATCCCCCAGCCAGCAGCGCTGGCTGGGGGATTCTGGGAGTTGAAGTCCACCCATCTTCAAGCTACCAAGGTTGAGAAACACTGGCCTAAAGTCACTCAGTCAGGTTTCATGCCTAAGGTGGAACTAGAATTCACAGTCTCCCACATTTTATTTTGGTGCCTTAACTATTAGACCAAACTAGCTCTTTATCTGCTTACTCCTAATAGACAGAATCTTGCCAAATTAAAGCAATAATCTTCTAACCCAGGGATGTCAAACTCAAGGCCCGCAGGGCGGATCCAGCTCGTGTGGTGCTTAGATCTGGCCAGGAGTGGGTTCCATTTATCTTTACTACCGGTTTGCAGCGGGATCACGCTTCTGCGCATGCGCAGATCACCCATGATGACGTCGTGGTGGGTGGGCGGGGCCTCCCGCCGGTTTTACTACCGGTTCTATAGAACCGGACCGAACTGGGAGCAACCCACCACTGGATCTGGCCCTCCTGAGCTCCGTTTTCACTGGCAGAGTGCTAGCAAAACAAACTACTACCAAAAGTGGCAGTTGATCGTAAGAGTGGCGTCGAGCTTGCGACTGTTGTGGCCCGCATAGGAAACAGAAAGGGGAGCGAACGGGGAGTGGGCTTTTGCAGGAAACAATTCGGTCGGTCGGTCATTTCAAGAGTGGGACGTTCTGTTCGCGACTCTGAGAGACTCTGCGCCAAGTTTTGCCTTGCCCTGCGTTTGGAAACTAGTTACCTGGCAGCTTCCCAAGCGATATAAGGTCTGTGTTGATAAATATTCCTCTGAAAGACTGTTTGCCAAGCCTTGCTGACTGTGAATGAAAGGAATTCAGTGTCGTGTAAATAAAAGGGGTTTTGCCTGGACCAAGACTCTGCTTCTTGCTTTTTAAGGAAGCCGAGGTCAGAACAGTGACGCCACCCTAGCGACACCCACCCCAGCCCTCCGAGGTCAAACAGGACCCTGATGCGGCCCTCAATGCAATCGAGTTTGACATCCCTGTTCTAACCTAAGAGATATGTAGGCTGGTGACCCCCAGGGGGAGGGCCTTCTCTGTGGGGGCACCTACCCTCTGGAATCAGCTGCCCTCAGAGATAAGGAGAATCCAAGACCTCAGTGCCTTCCGCCGTGCCCTTAAAACCCACTTTTTCCAGCAAGCCGGGCTGGTTTAGGAAGAAATTTTTTAAAATTTTTAAATGTTTAATTGGTTTGTGGTTTTTTAAATTTTGGGTCAAATTTATATAGATTTTAATTGTTTTTAATATTTGTATTTCATGTTTTTAATTCTGGCTGTGCACCGCCCTCAGTCCTCAGGGAGAAGGGCGGTATATAAATTGAAAAATAAAATAAAATAAAAATAAATAAATATATCCTGGGAGATTTTAGGCTAGTCCACGACTTATAACTATTCATTTAACAACTGTTCAAAGTTACAACAGTGCTGAAAAAAATGACTTATGGCCAATCCTCCCACTTACGGCCATCGCAGTATCTCCATGGCCATATAATCAACATTCAGGCGCTCAGCAACCGGCGTGTATTTACAATGGTTATAGCTTCCCGGGGACATGTGATCGCCACTTGTCACCTTTCCAAGCTGGCTTCCACCAAGCACCATTAATGGTGGAAGTTGGTTTCGCTTAACAACAGTGTGATTCAAGTAGGTCATAAAACTGGGCACGACTCACTTAATGACCACCACACTTAGCAATGGAATTTCCGGTCCTAATTGTGGTCATAGGTTAAGGACTGCCTATACTTTGAAACTTTTTCTCCTTACCCCATCCAGTTCAGGACTGCCTGAATAGTCTCTTGTTCTGGGACCCCCCTCTGGAATGTGCTGCCCCCCCTCCTTCTTCAGCTGCAATTCCATCACACAGAGCGCAATGAAAATATCTGAGATTACAAATCTTGAAAAATATATTAAAATATGCATACCAGCCGGGGAGAGTTTGGTATCGGAAATTGAATACATCAGAAATGTATTAGTTTGTAATGGGATGATGAATATCTCCCTTTGAACCTTTTCACAGATACTTTTAATCTGTTAAGTCAAGGTGTCTGTGATGACACAATGTGAATAAAATAATGTATAAGTTTGAATGAATATATTTTATTTATTTGGGGTCCTTATCATGCATCTGTGCATTTACAAAACACTTTAAATGGGAAAAAAGAGGCAGGAAATCTGAGGATCTCCTTAAAATGGATTAAATCCATATACAAATAGAAGAGTTCTGAAGAAGAAAAAAAACACATGGTGCATTTATAAGCATTTGCATTAAAAAGTTAATCAGTTCCTCAGCTTTGTTTTTAATTTTTTTATGAACAAAATTGATTCCAATCAAAATGTTTTTGGAGATTCTCAGTCATCCAGGTCATGGTTCTCCCAAAGGTGCTTTTTTCAAGAGGCAATTGGACTTTCTGGTTTTTCTTTGAATCCCTTTCACTTCTCATCCAAGAAGCTTCTTCAGCTCTGACTGGATGGTGGGGAATGGAAGGATTTATATTCCTTGCAGACAGCTGGTCATTTGCATTCTTTTAGAGAGTTTTTGAGACTATTTGGAGGTTTATCTGTGTCCTTGGGGGTCACCTGAGTAGGGCAAATGGTCTCATCGACTCTCTAAAAGGATGCAAATGACCAGCTGTCTGCAAAGAATATAAATCCTTCCATTCCTCACCATTCAGTCAGAGCCAAAGAAGCTTCTTGGATGAGAAGCGAAATGTCAAAGAAAGAAAGAAAGAAAGAAAGAAAGAAAGAAAGAAAGAAAGAAGGGAGGGAGGGAGGGAGGGAGGGAGGGAGGGAGGGAAGAAAGGAAGGAAGGAAGGAAGGAAGGAAGGAAGGAAGGAAGGAAGAAAGAAAGAGAGAGAGAGAGAGAGAGAGAGAGAGAAAGAAAGAAAGAAAGAAAGAAAGAAAGAAAGAAAGAAAGAAAGAAAGAAAGAAAGAAAGAAAGAAAGAAAAAAAGAAAGAAAGAAAGAAAGAAAGAAAGGAAGGGGATGGGAGGGGATCTAGTTGCCTTCTGAAAAAGCACCTTTGGGACATTCAATCCAAAATCAATCTCACTCTGATTAAAAATGAGATTGAACAAGCACATGGATGGAAACTGTTCCTGCTTGTGAGTGTGTGTTTGTGTGTTTGTGTTAGCTCTTCTTAACACAAATTTTTCCCAAGAAGGCCAGTCTAACAGGCTCGCAAGCTTTTTTTTTTTTTTACCTCAATTTCACCAAAGCATTGTCCAGCAAAGACATGTCCGCCATCTTCCACCACATACTGGATGAGTTTCCCGGCTGATGGGGATCGCAGAATTGAAGGGTCATTTTCCTTCTCAAACACACATGTTTTATTGCCAATGGTGATGCGATACCTAAGCAGGAGAGCACAGAAAGCCCAAAATGGTCTATACAGAAAATTTTATTTATTTATTAATTCAAGAAAATTCAAAATCAGAAATGAGGAGGTGACAAGCCGCCTGGGAAAGCCAAAGGAAATCATCAAAACCATTAAAAAGCGAAAGTTAGAATATTTAGGACATGTGATACATCAGCCGGAAAAATACGGCATCCTTCACTTAATCCTCGAGGGAAAGATTGAGGGCAAACGAGGTCCAGGCAGAAGAAGAACATCATGGCTTCAAAATCTAAGGGACTAGTTTGGACAAAACTCAGCAGCACTTTTTCATGCGGCTGTTGACAAAAATAGAATCACCAACATGATTGCCAATGTCTGATGACAGATATGGCACAAGATGAAGAACTAAGAAAATTCATATGGATCCCCAACTCAATCTGACTCTGGGTGATCTAACAAGGATAAAACCCCAATGCAAAATCCAGTGCAGGTTATCCTCAACTTACGACCACAATTGAGCCTAAAATTTCCATCAATAGGTAAAGTAGTTGTTAAGTGAGTTTCGTCCCATTTTGAAATAGGTAGGTCATGGTCCCGACTAAAGAGCAAACAATAGGTCCTCTGAGTCCTTGTCCAATATAGATTCAATTCTGGAAGTGGAACTTAAGCTTAGAAGGAAAAGTGGAGTGGAATCCATTTGAGGCCATCAATTTTTCAAGATGGCATCCTGGAGAACGTGCTTTTTTTTTTTTTAAAGAGGCAACTGGACTTTCTTTGGTTTTTCTTTGAAGACGTTTCGCTTCTCATCCAAGAAGCTTCTTCAGCTCTGACTGGAGGGTGGGGAACAGACGGATTTATGCTCCTGGCAAACAGCTGGTCATTTGATTGCTGGTCAATCCTTCCATTCCCCACCATCCAGTCAGAGCTGAAGAAGCTTCATGGATGAGAAGTGAAAGGGATTCAAAGAAAAACCAGAAAGTCCAATTACCGCTTGAAAAAAGCACCTTTGGGATAACAATGACCTGGATGACTGAGAATCTCCATACACCTGGAGAACCTTGGGTTTTTATTGGATGGGGGCCGGGATGCTGTGGAATTTTCCTTAGCAAGATGAAAGGCATACAGAGTGGAAGATTCACAAACCGTAAAGTTAAGAGATTGATAAGACCGGAGAGATACAGCCCCACCCTTATAGGCTGTGTGCCTTCCTTATCTTGGTTAGGGTTCTCCAAAACAATCCAGGATTTGACCTTGGGACAGAAGGTATAGGACCATGATGGTGAACCTATGGCACACGTGCACAAAGTGGCACACGAAGCCATGTGGCCCGGCACGCACAGCCTTGCCTGTTTGATTTCCGGGTTTCTGACGCGCATGAGTGCATGACGATCAGCTGTCCTTCATGCACACAGCAGTGCCAAAAATGCACCGGCCAGCTGATTGTTGGGCATGCATGCGCACTAGAACCCAGACGTTCGGCTTTTCCAGAGCATGGCCCCGACGAGCGTGTGTGTGCGCACATTTCCACGCGACCTTTTCGGCACGCACGCGCTCACAACCACTGAACTAATATGCTGAAGCTGACCAGGCTAAGGACGCCAGTCATATGAATGAATACCTGGTAGGCAGAGGCAGAATTTTTTTTTTTCCTCCCCAAAAACTAAGGTGCGTCTTATACTCCGAGTGTCTTATACTCCAAAAAATAGGGTAACTGAACAACTGCAGTATTCACTTAACAACCGTGGCAAGAAAGGTCGTAAAATGGGACAAAACTTACTTAGCAAAACTCACTTAGCAACAGAAATTTTGGGCCCAATTGTGGTCGTATTTTGAGCAACACTTGTATTGCAATCATGCCAAGCTGCAGTATTCTGGAAGCAGAAACATCTTAACCATCCAGCTTTATCCCTTCAGCCTACTGATAAGTTTTCGCATTGCCTTAACTAAGTTCCTGGTAGTAAGTAGAAAAGTTACTCAATGCACATTTGTTTGTACAGATTGGGGGTATCGAATTTCCTTGGCGCATCATTTTTAAAAAAATGAATTGCATATGTATGGGTGTGGATGAGAAATGTGTGTGCGTAGGTTTGATTATTAATGCCTCTTAAGCAATGAAAGTTGCTCCTCTTTCATTTGAATTTAAAGGGAACTATGATGACCACCCACTTATGGATTGGATAATGTCCCCCTTTGGCCACACTGAATGTTATGAAGTTGAAGGAGCTTTCGGGGAAAACCCTGAAAGGTTTTAGAGGGTGGCATCCTGGGGTCTCTTCCTCTGCTTGCAAGCATCCCTGGAAGCAATTCAACATTACCTGTCCACTTCTTCTTTCATGTAGGTGGTGTAGCTGCTCCCATCATAGGACAACAGGAGGCCTCCGTCACTTAGCCGGTGAACGTCAACCTCCACGCAGGAACCGTTCATGATGACAACATAGGAGTTTGGAGACTGCCGAGCTACCTGTGAGAAAGAGAAGAGCAAGAAGTAGAATAGAATAGAATAGAATAGAATAGAATAGAATAGAATAGAATAGAATAGAATAGAATAGAATAGAATAGAATAGGTTGGAAGGGACCTTGGAGGTCTTCTAGTCCAATCCCCTGTTCAGGCAGGAAACCCTACACCACTTCAGACAAATGGTTATCCAACATCTTCTTAAAACCTTCCAGTGTTGGAGCATCCACAACTTCTTGAGGCAAGTAGTTCCACTGATTATTTTCACTGTCAGGAAATTTCTCCTTAAGTTCTAGGTTGCTTTTCTCCTTGCTTAGTTTCCACCCATTGCTTCTTGTCCTGCCCTCAGGGGCTTTGAAGAATAGCTTGACTCCCTCTTCTCAGTGGCAACCCCGAGATATTGGGACACTGCTATCATGTCACCCCTAGTCCTCCTTTTCATCAGACTACACATATCCAATTCCTGCAACTGCTCTTCATAAGTGTTAGCCTCCAGTCCTCTAATCAGCTGGTCTTTGCAGGCACCAGATCGCTAGAAAATGGCCTGAAAATGCCCCCCAAAATGGCCTGAAAATGGCCCCCCAAACACCCAAAAAACAGGCATGTGCACGCCGGCCAGCTGGTCTTCGGCTTTCCAGCGCTCCAGATGCGCACACATGCATGCACGTTCCGGTTTGGGCACGATGCCGAAAAGGTTCGCCATCACTGCTCTATACGGTCTCAGTCAAATGGTTGTCCAATCTCCTTAGGTACCCTTAGTTGTGTATCTGGTGCTACGTTACCTTTAGTACATATTTCTTCCCTTCGTAGATGAGTTCCACGTCCACTATGTTCAACAATGTATGTGCAGGCAAGACTTGGCCCCTGGAAGAGAAAGATTAATAACAGCACTCCATTTCTTGCCAATAGCTTTTCAAGGAAACCGTTAGGCTTCTAAAAAGGTAAGGCTAAAAGGACGCAGGTCTCTACAGGACCTTCATTAATTATAGCACACAAAAGAGGACGTCTTCTCCTCCAAGTTCTCCTTACTGAAGGAGGGGAAGTGGATCTCTACAAAGGAAGAGCCTTTTGGGGGGGAGGGCTCCCTTTTAGGGGATTCCCTTCCCAGAGAGACTTGATTAGCAGTCGAATTAGCAGGGTACAGATCTTCCTATTCCCCCAGGCTTTTAAAATACGTTTTAATTCATATCATTTCAATCGCCATTCATTGGGTGAAAGAAAGTGATTGGTCCAAGATCACCCAGCTTTCTTCACGCCTAAGGCGCAGGGCTAGAATTCACAATGTCCTGATGATTGGACCAAAGTCCACCCAGCCAGTTTTCAGGCCAAAAACGGGACTAGAACTCACAGTCTCCTAGTGATTGGCCCATTCAGCTTTCATGCCTAAAGTGGAACTAGAATTCAGCATCTCCCAATGACTGGCCCAAAGTCACCCAACCAGCTTTCATGTCTAAGGCAGGACTAGAACTCACAGTCTCTAGTGATTGGCCCATCCAGCTTTCATGCCTAAGGTGGGACTAGAATTCAGCATCTCCCAATGACTGGCCCAAAGTCACCCAACCAGCTTTCATGTCTAAGGCAGGACTAGAACTCACAGTCTCCTAGTGATTGGCCCATCCAGCTTTCATGCCTAAGGTGGACTAGAACTCACAGTCTCCCAGTTTCTAGTCTGATGCTTTAACCATTACACCAAACTGGCTCTCAATCGGCCACTACTCTCTAGGAAATCAACCCTGCATGACTTTGTGAGTTGGACAAGCTTATATTTTCCCAGCACCAATTCTGCAAGATCACTCAGAACATACTCAAGGAAACAATTCTAGAGACAAGGTGACAAAGAGGAAGCTTTAAGAAATGCCAATGAAATGAAAATCTGGTTTTTACCTCTCCAGGGAGTGGAGAAAGTTGGAGATGCTATTCCGCAGGCTGACATCAGCCACGTGGAGAGCCCCACAAACCACCCCCAGCATGGTATCTGGTCTCTCCGCCTAGATGAAAAAGAGGGGAAGAGGCCATTTTAAAAAATTACTCACCTTTTGTATCACCAATTGTCAACTTTTCAGAGTTTCCTTCAGAAAACTCGGGACCAAAACGAGTGTTTTAAGCCCAATAGAATAGTTACTTTAGCCATTCATAGCTTCCAACTTCTTCACCATTCTTTTCTCTTCTGCCAATATCTTTTTCTTAATTTGTTCTAACCAAGTTTTCCTCCTCCTCCTTCCTCCTCGTGTGCCTCCTGTTTTACCTGGAGGCCTATTCAATCATCTGGAGAACTTTCTACTTTTCCAATGGCCAAACAGAACTGCCCAAGTGGACGCATTTGGAGAGTTTGCCAGCATGCGATCTGAGGGGTCCTTGGTGCTCTCTTCTGTGCGTGGTGGTTTTCTTAACAGATGTTTTATTACCAAAATAGGTAACATCATCAATGCCCGTGATGTTACCTTGTTGGGTAGTGAAACATCTGCACAGAAAACCACCAAGCTCAGAGAGCATGAGGACCCCAGGATTCAACCCTAAACCACAAATATTCTCTTCTGTTGGTACCACATATGGACATCAAACGCTTCAGAAAGCATGCAGATGAGAGAAATTTGCAGGGACATCAACCTAGCACTGATGATGATACCTAGTTGGGTCATGAAATGTCTGCAATAAAATCACCAAACTCAGAGAGCACCAAGGACCCCCCCAGTTCTCTTCCTCCTCCTCTCCACAAATCCCACTCCCTTCTAGCACTGATGATGTTACCTAGTTGGGTCATGAAATGTCTGCAATAAAACCACCAAGCTCGGAGAGCACGAAGGTTCCCACAGTTCAGGCTCCCTGAGCTACAAATATTTTCTTCTATTAATAGAATGAGATCTATTTGGCTCACTCCTACGGACAGATAATCCAAATTAAAATGCTGCAGTTTTTCTTTTTGGATATATTCTGTGCCAGAACACGATTACCTGCACTTTCTCTGCAATCAGTCGGTCCAGCCAACCAGTGTCAATGCAGTTGTGCTGAAAGCTTTCCGTTTCAAGCAGCTTAATCAAGTACTCCACAGTCGTTCTGAAGTCGCCTCGAATGGATAGCTCCTTCAGAGCAACGACCATATTTCTGAAGATTAAAAAAAAAAAAGAGAGAGTGTCAGATCTGAAAATAAACTGGAGAATATCAGCAGACTATCTTTCATCCTGAAGGCCCCATCCAGTTCCTGGTCCCTGAGAGGTCTATAACTGGCGTGTCAAACTCAAGGCCCGTGGGCAGGATCCAGCTTGCAGGGTGCTTGGATCTGGCCCATCGGGATGCCCTGGAAACAGCAAAGGAGCGGCCTGCGGTGCTTCTGCCAGCGAAAATGGAGCTCGGGAGGCCGCAACGGCTCCTGCAACTCTCTGCCAGCGAAAACGGCCCTCCCGAGTTCTGTTTTCGCTGGCAGAGGGACTGCAGGAGCCCGTTGCAACCTCCCGAGCTCTGTTTTCGCTGGCAGAGCGCTTGGGCTACCACAGCAGTGGTGGGTTCCTCCCAGTTCGGCCCGGTTCAGCCAAGCCGGTAGCGGTAACGATATGATGTCACCGAACCGGTTCTGCCCCCCCCCCCCGCGCCTCCCACGTTATTCTTACCTTTCATTTGGCCCCACCCCCAATCTATTGCTGCCTCCCAAGTCCCAGCTGATCGGATAGAAGGAAAAAACCTGTTTAAACTCTTGCTGGGTGGCTTCAAAGGGCCGCCCTATAGCTGATCAGTGTTAAAAGGCAGTGTGGTGGTAGACCGGTGCCTCCAAAAACAAATGAGTATACCTCAGATACAGCTCTGCAAGCAGTTAAAAGCCTGGTAGACCAGTACCTCTGCTAAATCCTAAAGAATTGTCACATGACCATCAAGCCACACCCACAAAATAAGCCACGCCCACAGAACCGGTAGTAAAAAAATTTAGAACCCACCCCTGTACCACAGGCGCCAACATGAGTGACATCGAGTTGGCCACGCTCATCCTGCCCATGCTCACCCGGCCCCCAAGGTCAAACACAACCCTGATGCCGCCCTCAATGAAATCGAGTTTGACAGCCCTGGTCTATAACAGGATCTGTTTATCTATTTACCTTAGTACAGGTACTACTTACGAACCCCAACTGAGCCCAAAATTTACGCTCTTGAGTCTTAGAGCCTTGATAGTACAGTGGTCTAAGCACCCTGTTATTAACACAGCTGCCTGCAATTACTGCTGGTTCGAATCTCTCCAAGGCTCAAGGTTGACTCAGCCTTCCATCCTTTCTAAGGTAGGTGAAATGAGGACCCAGATTGTGGGGGCAATAAGCTGACTTTGTATAAAATATACAAAAAGTATGAAGGCTATTGCTTAACGCATTGTAAGCCGCCCTGAGTCTCCGGAGAAGGGCGGCATATAAAACAAAAAAAAAAAAAAAAAAAAGACAGTTGTTAAGTGAATGTTGCCCCATTTTACAATCCTCCTTGCCAGTTATTAAACACTGCAGTTGTTCAGTTAGTAACACAGTTGTTAAGCGAATCTGGCTTCCCCATTGATTTTGCTTGTCAGACGGTCACAAAAGTTGATCTTCTGGGACACTTCGGCTGTCATATGTACAGGCAAGGTCCTCGACTTACAACAGTTCGCTTAGTGACCGTTCGAAGTTACAACGGCGCTGAAAAAAGTGACTTAGGACCATTTTTCATACTAGTGACCATTGCAGCATCCCCATTGTCACGTGATTTATATTTGGATGCTTGACAATTGACTCACATTTATGACAGTTGCAGCGTCCTGGGCGGTAATGGTTTTCACTTACCTTCGCTACCAGTTCAGAACTGTGAGCAAGCGTCATCCATGATGACATCCAGGCAGGTGGGCAGAGCCTCCCACCGCCGCTACCGGCTTGCCTGAATTGGGGCGAATCTGTAGAAACCCACCCTGGGATCACATGGTCCCCTTTTGCAACTTTCTGGCAAGCAAAATCAATGGGCAAACCAGATTCACGCAAGAATTGTGTTCCTAATTTAACAACTGCGAGTGATTCCATTAGGAAATGTGGCAAGAAAAATCATAAAATCGGACAAAACTCCCTTAACAAATTTCTCACTGAGCAACATAAATTTTGGGCTCAATTGCGGTTGTAAGTCGAGGACTACCTGTATGTGCCAGGTGCCTGCATTTCGATGCTGCAACATCGTAAGTGTGAAAAACGGTCATAAGTCATTTTTTCCAGTGCCACTGTAACTTTGAGCGGTCACTAAATGAAAGGTTGTACGTGAAGGACTACCTGTGTCTATCCTGGTAATAACTGCACTCTGATGAATACATGTGCTTCACTTACAACCACAATTGGAACTGGAATTTCCGTTCATAAGCAAGGTGGTGGTTGAGTGAATTGTGGTGATTTTATGACCTTTTTTTTTTGCCACGGTTGTTAAGTGAATCACTGCATTTGTTACATGAATCATGGGGGCGTTAAGCGAATCTGGCTTCCCTCATTGACTTATGGGCTTAGTAGGTGTCAGCTGGGAAGGTCACAAATGGAGATCAGATGACCCTGGGATGCTGCAACCTTCATAGATACATGCCAGTTGCCAAGCGCTCAAATTTTGATCATGTGACCTTGAGGTTGCCACAACACTTACATAAGCGTAAGAACCAGTCATAAGTCACTTTTTCAGTGCCACCGTAACCCTGAACAGTCACTAAACAAATGGTTGTAGCAATAGCAATAGCACTTAGACTTACCGTACTTTTCAGAGTATAAGACTCACCTTCCTTTTTTGGTGAGGAAAACAAGAAAAAGAAATCTGCCTCCCAACAATTTTGCCTCGTTGCAGAAAACAGCCTGCTTTACTTTCATTTTCATTTTCAGCATAGCTTGATTAGCACAAGAAAAAAAAAATCTGCTCCCAGCAATTTACCTCCTTGCAGCAAGCAGCAGAGGCCCCTGCAAAACAGCTGAGAGTCGGGAGGCCGATCCAAGGGACAATCAACTTGTGCTAATTAGGCTGTGCTGAAGCTGAAACGAGCTGTTTCTTCTTGCTGCTTGCTGCAAGGAGGTAAACTGCTGGGAGGCAGAGGCCAAAGGGTGGGGGCCAGTGGGTGGGCGGCAGGGGTGGGTTCTACTTATCTTTACTATTGGTTTGCAACAGGATCGCACGCGCAAGCTCGCTTCGCTCACACGCGTGCCTTGCTTCTGCGCAGGCACAGATCGCTTCTGATGACGTCAGGGTCAGTGGGCGGAGCCTTCCGCCAGTTTTACTACCAGTTCTATAGAACCAGTCCAAACCGGGGGCAACCCACCACTGGTGGGCGGGGCTACATTCGGTGTATAAAACGCACCTAAATTTTCACCCCCTTTTAGGGGGGAAAAAGGTTCATCTTATACTCCGAAAATACGGTATATACAGCTTCACAGTGCTTTTACGGCCCTCTCTAAGCAGTTTACAGAATCATCATCTTGCCCCCAACAATCTGGCTCCTCAGATTGTTGGGGGTCTGGGTCCAGATCATGGACTATCTGTAAAATATAATTCCACGCAGGCAACTAAGTCAAAGGAGATCAAACCGCCTGATTCTTCTGCGATCAGCAGAGGAATTAAGAGAAGAGGGAAGTATTTCTCACTGTTCCCTCTCACTTACGAGATGGCTTCTTCACGGTTTTCTCCCCACGAGAAACAATGGCCGAACTGAGAGTCTGCAAATTCGTGAAGGCCTCCTGCGGCAGCCACACTGAAATAACCCCAGACGTTCTTATTACTGCGAAAGTTCAGTTCTTGGACTGTTCCAGAACTGGGTTTAAATCCCTGGAATATAAAATGGAACATTGTTTTTTAAACACACACACACACATCTGACTGGATTGGAATATTCATTTTAAAAGTCATCATTTCTTTTTTTATATATATAAAGTTTTATTGTTTTATTACTACACATTATGACAAACACGTAATATACAACATATAAACATATCCTCTTTTTAACAAGTGTCATCATTTCTAACAGGGCAAGAGAAACATATTCCAGGATTCTACATTAGTGTTTTTCAACCTCAGCAACTTTAAGATGTGGGGACTTCAACTCCCAGAATCCCCCAGCCAGCAAGTTTATGATGTGTGGCCTTCAACTCCCAGAATTCCTCAGCCAGCAACATTAAGATGTGCGGCCTTCAACTTCCAGAATCCCTCAGCCAGGAACTTTAAGATGTGGGGATTTCAACTCCCAGAATTCCTCAGCCAGCAAGTTTATGATGTGTTGCCTTCAACTCCCAGAATCCCCCAGCCAGCAAGTTTATGATGTGTGGCCTTCAAGTCCCAGAATTCCTCAGCCAGCAACTTTAAGATGTGTGACCTTCAACTCCCAGAATCCCTCAGCCAGGAACTTTAAGATGTGGGGATTTCAACTCCCGGAATTCCACACATCTTAAAGGTGCTGAGATTAAAAACCACTGATCCATATCTTTATTAATCCTATTTATTGGGTGCATCATAACGTGTATAAACATTGTAGACACATAAGAGTATTCTTCAAAAAAATATCCATTCCATATCCCTTGATCATGCTTCCTCCTCATTATGGCATTTCTACCATTAATAGCGACAAGAAAGGTGAAAGTAGAGGAAATTTAGGTGAAAGTAAAGTAGGGTCAGACCAATTTCAGTGGGAAGAATTCAGTGGCTTTAAGTTTAAACAGGAATGTCAAAAAAGAAGGTGTTGGAGAAGATAGAAAAATCAGAGGAGTTAATTCATTAAGTCCCCGGGAACTGAGCTAATTGTTTCAGTCATTTAACACGCTCTACATGGGGCTACCCTTGAAGACTATTCGGAAACTACAACTGGTACAGAATGTAGATTCACGGAGAGTTTTAGGAGTCCCTAGGGTGGCACATGTAATATCCCTTTTGCTCCCAGGTCCAATTCAAGGTGTGGGTGTTATTATTACTTTTAAAGCCCTTTATGGCATGGATCCAGGGAACCTAAAGAGCCATCTTGTGCAAAAGGGATTGGCCTATCCCACTCGATCCAGCGGAAGAAGCCTACTGAGATCCCATCTGCCAAAAAAAAAACAATTGACTGACAGGGGAAGGGCCTTTGCTGCTGTGGCCCCACTTTCTGGAATATTCTCCCACTGGAAGGGAGGTTGGCCTCCACACTTTTGATCTTCTGGAAGAGCCTAAAAACCTCTGGGTGGCTGAGAGAAAATCCTCACCTTCATGTCACTTGTCCTCTTGGGTTTTTTTAAAATCTTCTTATTGAATTTTCTTAATTGTAATCATTTTGTATTATTTTTTTTATCATTTTGTAAAATACCCACTTACTTCAACAGTGAGATGGGAAGCATAATTAATTCATCCATCCATCCATCCGTCCATCCATCCATCCATCCATGAATCAATTTAGCTTTATTTTTCCTGGGACCACAATTTCAAAAAAAGACTCTACTTCATATATATATGAAGTACACACACACACATACATACATACATACATACATACATACATACATACATACAGTCTCCCACCTAGCAGGAAGAACTTGCTGGCTGTTAGAAAAGAAAAAAGCCCAGAATCGAGTGGATGTGATTCTACTGAGCTAGGGCTGCAGAAAAATCTTGGTTACGTAGGGAAAACCTGGCTAGAAGAAAAACATACATACATACATACATACATACATACATACAAACATACATATATTATAGCCCACCTTCATTATTTTTACAAATAATTGAAGGCAGTGAATATATATACGCAATGCACCTTCCTCTTCTTGCTTTCCCCATAACAACAATCCTGCAAGGTAGGTTGGGCTGAGAGAAGGTGATCCCATCTTTATTATCTTTGCAAATAAGTCAAAGTGGCGAATGTTATGCAACACACTTTCTTCCTCCTATTTTTCTTCCTCTTATTTTCCTCTTATTTTTCTACAATCCTGTGAGGTGGGTTGAGCTGAGAGAGAGGGACCGGCCCAAAGTCACCCAGCTGGTTTTCATGGCTAAGGTGGGACTTGAACTCGTGGCCTCCTGCTGCTTTCTAGCCCGGCACCTTAACCACTGGGCCAAACCAGCAGAAATATAAGAAGGCTCACCTCATCGGGGTTCTCACTGGTGATACGGGCTGCGATCACGTGACCCCGCGGACAAGGCACATGGGCCGAGCTGTCAAAGTCAATAGGGGTGTCTCCCCAGGGTGAAGCTCCATACATGATCCGGATATCTTTGATCCTGTGGAGAGGAATTCCCATCGCAATCTGGAGAAGAAAAAAAAAGGAAAATATAGCCCTTGTCATATTTAGATGCACAACAGAAAGATCTTCGACTGACACCACTAAGCATAAGTGTCCCAACATCTGTGCTGTGTTTTCTTGTTTCTACTTAAAAGGATCTATAAGTATTAACCAAGACTACGATTATGGAGTCATCTGAATTTCTATTTTCTCAGCATTACTGGTAATCCTCGATTTACGACGACAATTGAACCCAGAATTTGTCACTAAGCAAGACAGTCTTTAAATGAGTTTTGTCCCATTTTATGACCCTTCTTGACCCAGTTCTTAAGTGAATCACTGCAGTTAGTAGTGCATTACTAAGTTAGTAATATGGTTGTTAAGTGTATCTGGCCACTGTCATAAATATGAATCAGTTGCCAAGTGTCCAAATTCTGATCACATGACCATGTGGATGCCGCAACGGTCATTAAATGTGATAAACAGTCACAAGTAACTTTTTCCAATGCTGTTGCAATTTTGAACAATCCCTAAATGGAAGTGAATGAAGGAAAAGAACTACCTGTATCATCCACTTCTTTTAATGACTCCATAATCCCTTGTGGGGCGGAGTCTAGGCAACTGAATGGAGCTGAGTGGTTACTGGCCAGATGCCCTTCCTGTCGCCAATGCAGAGTTTTGTTCAGCAGATATATTCTCATTGTACCCAGAGAGAAATATCAACCTCTACCTAGGATTGAACTCACAGCCTCCTGATTGTGAGGCGAGAGCTCTACCTCCATGCCATCGCACACTCAAAAAAATCTACCTGTATAAACTCTTTAAATCAGTATTTCTCGACTTTAAAATGTGTGGACGTCAACTCCCATAATTCCCCAGTCAACTAAGGAATTTAAAATCAACCAGTCCATCACCAATAATTGATAATTTCCTGATCTATTTTGTGGAGAGCTTTCATCCATAAATTTAAAGGTGCTATATTTTTGAAGGACGGTTTTTGGCCTTTTATTGGTAGAGCCCAGAATGTTTTTGAAACTGGACTGAAACAGATTTCCACCCCTTATTTTCAGTCAAAAATAAAGTTTAATGCTCAAGGAGAGAGAGATGTTTAATCACATGAAGGCTTTTGATCTTCTAGGCCACAACAATTTTTAGGGAGCCATTGAAAATCTGGTTATCCTGGGCTACCTCACCTGCCTATTGGAAAATGTGTATGAGGGCCAAGAAATGAGAGTCAGAATAGAAAACAGATAGTCCTCAACTTACAACGGTTCATTTAGTGACCAAAGTTACAGCAACACTGAAAAAAGTGACTTACGACCGTTTTTTATGCTTACGACTGCTGCAGCATCTCCATGGTGATCAAAATTCAGACCCTTGACAAGTGACTCATATTTATGACGGCTGCAGTGTCCCAGGGTTATATGATCATTTTTAGTGACTTTCTGACAAGCAAAGCCAATGGGGAAGCCAGATTCACTTAACAACCATGTTACTAATTTAACAACTGCAGTGATTCACTTAACAACTGTGGCATGAAAGGTCGTAAAATGGGGTAAAACTCACTTAACAAATGTCTCACTTAGCAGCATAAATATTGAGCTCAATTGTGGTCATAACCTGAGGACTACCTGTACGGAACAACTGAAATGGTAGAAAATTGAGAAATGTGCCAAGATTGTATAATGGTCTCCTTATTTATATAACTTCCATTGCAGAATACATTATTCAGATTACATTATGGGAAATGCTAGGTTAGAACAATTGGAATTGTCACTGGCACATCATTAACTTCAAATATGCTGATGCTGCTACTTTGATAGTTTTTAACAGGGAAGACTTAAGGAAACCCTTATTGATGGTAAAAGAAGAGAATGGCAAAGGTTATAGTATCTTCTGCTCAATATTTTAAAAAAATCTAGAATTTTGTCAAGAGGCAATGCTTTAATGGTATGGTTGTTCATCGGTATAGTTGCACACTGTCATGAATCTTTATTGATTTGGTGGTGTGCAACTAGAATAAATCGTAAAAATGATCTATATTTTTTCATAATACTTTGGTTATCTGTAAACTATTATGGGTATAGAATATAAATAAATGCATGAATGAATATCAAAGAGGAAAAAAACTACTTTTTAAATACACATAACAGGTTTATTGTCCTTTTGGTACAGTTTTTATTTAGAAATCTACAAATGGTTGCAAATGTAAAGAAAAAATAAAGGAAGGAAGGAAGGAAGGAAGGAGAAAAAGGAGAGGGAGGAGGGAGGGAGGGAGGAAGGAGAGAGAATAAGGGGAGGGAGGGAGAAGGAAGGAAGGAAGGAGAAAGAATAAGGGGGGAGGGAGGGAGGAAGGAAGGAGAGAGAATAAGGGGGGAGGGAGGGAGGGAGGAAGGCAGGAAAGAGATTAAGGGGAGGGAGGGAGGAAGGAAGGAAGGAGACAGAAAGAAAGGAAAGGAAAGGAAAGGAAAGGAAAAGCAAAAGCAAAAGCAAAAGCAAAAGCAAAACAAAACAAGAGTAAAAAATAGTTGAAGAAACAAGAAAAATAAGCAATTTCTAATTTTTTTTTCAACAGTTACAAACTCAATAGCCTGTCTCCCTCTTGATATTACAAAAATCCCTCCAATCTCTTATTTACTCCTTTTTCAAGCATCAAATCGTAAATCTTCATTTCACTTTTTTTTTTCCATTTCCAGCAAAAAGTCCATAAACGGCTTCCAGCCTTTTATTTTTTTTAAAAAAGTATGACAGCTGCATTTTCCGAAGAAAGACCTCAGAAACTCATAACCTCTCTCCAAAGTCAAGTTCGCCTCCATTACACACAAGACGGAAACACCGAGTACCAAAATGTTCCCCTCATGTGAAAACACACCCTCCCGTTTCAAAACAACCAGGGAAAGGGTTTTTTTTTTCCCAGCTGCCTAACGCAACACTTCACTTTCCAAAGCCAGAACTCTTCCCTTGCCTTATCAGCACTCTGATCTTGTTCCAAGTCCAGAACGACTCACTTCTTGCGACATTTGGAACAAATCCCACCTTCTCTAGATTTTGGAAGAACTGGTTATTCCAGCTGAAGTCTGCAGATTGGCCCATGCTTAGCAACTGGCTTCGGCCTTCCCACCGGGTCTTCTCGACTTACTTGGAGTTGAGCAGAAGGCAGGTTGACGTCAGCCACCATTTCTGTACAAGGATGCTCGACCTGCAGCCGAGGGTTTAGCTCCAAAAAGTAAAAACTCCCATCTTGGCTGTAAAGATATTCCACCGTCCCGGCACTGACGTAGCCCACCATCTTGGCGAGTTTGACCGCACACTGAAAAAAAGAGAGAAAGGGCTACTTTCAAAAGAGATCTTTTGAACCAAAACAACTTCATGAGGTCATTTTCTTGGGTAGTCTCCGAATTCAAGAGAATGGGCCCAAGGAACTCAGATCTGGTGATGACTATGGGACAATGGAACGCACCGCAACCCAGAATTATCATTCTGCTTCCCTACTTATTTCAAGATTGTTCACAAAAGCCATCTTGTTCCGATCAACTTTTAAAGCAAGGGGGCCATCTCAGTAGTAGCAGGAGCAGCACATTGGCAAACCTATCTAAGCTCAGAAGCTAAGCAGCATCAGGCCTGGTTAGTAGATGGATGGGAGACCACTCAGAAATCTCTAAGCGATAAAGTAGACCAGGGGTGTCAAACTCGATTTCATTGAGGGCCGCATGAGGGTTGTGTTTCACCTTGGGGGGGGGAGGAGTAGGCGTGGCCACGGTAGGCATGGCCAGGGTGGGCGTGGCCAGGGTGGGCGTGGCCAGCTTAACGTCACTCGTGTCAGGGGCACCTGTGGTGGCCAAGTGCTAAGGCAGGGCTTCCCTCAGATCCTCCCTCAATCTCATTATAATTTCCTCCCTTCCTTCCTTCCTTCCTTCCCTCCCTCCCTCTCTTCCTGTCTGTGATGGCTGGGCTGGTTGGCTGCCGTCATGAAGCAATTCATCCAAAGTCATTAACTGAGATGTCATGTGATCATAACCTGCAACTTCCTAATGGCTTCCCCAATGAATACAGGTAGTCCTTTTTTTTAAAAGAATGATTTATATGCCGCCCTTCTCCGGAGACTCAGGGCGGCTTACAATGCGTTAAGCAATAGCCTTCATACTTTTGTATATTTTTATACAAAGTCAGCTTATTGCCCCCACAAACTGGGTACTCATTTTACCTACCTTAGAAAGGATGGAAGGCTGAGTCAACCTTGAGCCTGGTGAGATTTGAACTTACAGTAATTGCAGACAGCTGGTGTTAATCACAATGCTTTTAGTCTGCTGAGGCAAGCCCTTGACTTACAACAGTTCATTTAGTGATGTTCAAAGTTACAACGACGCTGAAAAATGACTATTTTTCACAGTTACAACCTTTGCAGCATTCCCGTGTCCATGTAATCAAAATTCAGATGCTTGGCAACTGGTTCATACTTATGACTGGTACAGCATCCCGGGGTCATGTGATCACTTTTTGCGACCTTCTGACAAGCAAAGTCAACGGGGAACCCAGGTTCACTTAACAACCAGGTTACTAACTTATCAACTGCAGTGATTCTGTTCACAACTGTAGCAAGAAATGTTGTAAAATGGGGCAAAACTCAAATTCTCACTTAACAACGTGAATTTTGGGCTCAATTGTGGGCATAAGTTGAGGACTACCTGTATGTGAGAAGCCAGTTGTGGAGGTCACAAATGGGTATCACATGACCACAGGACACGACAACCATCACCAATGTGGGCAAACATTTATCCCTTCTGGAGGATTTCAACTTCCTCAATTCCCCAGCCAGCTTGCTTTAAGGTGTGTGGACTTCAACTTCCAGATTTCCCCAACCGGCATGCTGGCTGGTGAATTCTGGGAGCTGACCTCCACACATCTTAAATCCACCAAGGTTGAGAAACACTGTTCTAGATTGAATATTGATATTGTTTCCTGATTGCTTATTTGTAACCTACGGCTAGCATTAAGTATTGTATCTTATGATTCTTGATGAACGTATCTTTTCTTTTATGCACACTGAGAGCATATGCACCAAGATAAATTCCTTGTGTGTCCAATCACACCTGGCCAATAAAAATTGTATGTATGCTGATTAGTGTATATTTAAAGTGACAATAATGTTTCTATTCTATTGTATTCTATTGTATTCTATTCTATTCTATTCTATTCTATTCTATTCTATTCTATTCTATTCCATTCCATTCCATTCCATTCCATTCCATTCCATTCCATTCCATTCCATTCCATTCCATTCCATTCTATTCCTATTCTAATCTCATTCCATTCCATTCCATTCCATTCCATTCCATTCCATTCCATTCCATTCTATTCTTTCTATTCTAATTTCTTTTCTATTCTATTCTATTCTATTCTATTCTATTCTATTCTATTCTATTCTATTAATATGAGTTGTTTATTCATGCACAAACTTCTCTAAGTACCTACAATACAGTCTTTATAAAATTGGGGAGCTAATTGGTTTCATATCAGACTGAAGATCAGTTGTGTTCTTCACACACATTTAATCAGATTACTGAGTTAATCCATTTTTGGTGCCATATTCTAAACTTAAATGAACCAGAGGCTTAAACTGGATAAGAGACTAAGTTACTCCCACTCACAAAACCAATTTAAGGCAAATACAGAACCAGCTTGGCATATTGTATGAATGCCTCTGCCAAATATTCCCCTGGCCTAGTTACATGTGCTGGATGAGTGCAGTATTGTGGGTTTCTCAAAATCCTCTTCTTTTGTTTCAATCATATTTCAATGATGCTCCACTGAGCATAAAATAAAGCCTAAAGGCAACATGGTGTACATTGGCATACTACTTACACAAGTATCCCTCTAAGTTTCATTTATACAATACAGGTAAGTCCTCGATTTACAACAACAATTGTGCCCGAAATTTCTGTTGCTACGAGAAAACAGTTGTTAAATGAGTTTTGCCCCATTTTACAACCTTTCTCACCACCATTAAGTGAATCACTGCAGTTGTTGAGTTAGTAAGAGGGTTGTTAAGCGAATCTGCCTTCCCCATTGAGTTGGCTTGACAGAAAGTCGCAACCCCTGAGACACTGCAACTGACATAAGTAGAAGTCAGTTGCCAAGTTTCTGAATTTTGATCATGTGACCACAGGGGAAATGCTGCGGTGGTCGTATGTATGAAAAATGGTCGTAGGTTACTTTTTTCAGTGCCATTGTAATTTTGAACAGGGATGGGATGGGATGGGATGGGATGGGATGGGATGGGAGAGAAGAGAAGAGAAGAGAAGAGAAGAGAAGAGAAGAGAAGAGAAGAGAGAAGAGAAGAGAGAGAAGAGAAGAGAAGAGAAGAGAAGAGAAGAGAAGAGAAGAGAGAGAAGAGAAGGAGAAGAGAGAGAGAAGAGAAGAGAAGAGAAGAGAATTCTTTATTGGCCAAGTGTGATTGGACACACAAGGAATTTGTCTTCGGTGCATAAGGTCTCAATGTACATTAAAGCTATAAGAGATACCGTATTTTTCAGAGTAAAAGACGCACCTTTTTCCCCCTAAAAGGGGGTGAAAATTTAGGTGCGTTTTATACACCGAATGTAGGCCCGCCCACCCACTGGCCCCACTCTTTGGCCTCTGCCTCCCAACAGTTACCTCCTTGCAAGCAAACAGCAAGAAAAAAACAGCTCCTTTCAGCTTCAGCACAGCCTAATTAGCACAAGTTGATTGGATCGGCCTCCCGACCCTCAGCTGATTTGCTCTCAGCTGTTTTGCGCAGGGCTCTGCTGCTTGCTGCAAAGAGGTAAATTGCTGGAGCAGATTTTTTTTTTTCTTGTGCTAATCAAGCTATGCTGAAAACAAAAATGAAAATAAAGCAGGCTATTTGCTATTTGCTGCAAGGAGGCAAAATTGCTCAGAGGCAGAGGGAGATTTCTTTTTCTTCTTTTCCTCACCAAAAAAGGTAGGTGCGTCTTATACTCCAAAAAATACAGTAATAGCCATCGTAAAAATACATCATAATCGACATAAACAAACTGTTGTAAGTCGAGGACTACCTGTAGCAACAAACGAGCACCTAATTCTGACTCTTCCACCACAAATGTGAGGAGTAGGCTACAGTTCTCCCTCTCAAAGTCAGAATTCCCACCTACCTGTTCCATATGTTCAAAGACAGCCAATGTTGCAATAGATGCTGGAGCCTCCTCAATAATCTTCTGATGCCGGCGCTGGACGGAACAGTCTCGGCCAAAGAGGGAGATGGCATTGCCATACTGGTCGGCAAGGATCTGGACCTCAAGGTGGCGGGATTGCTTAGCCAGTCGCATCACGAAGATCGGTGAGCCGGGCACCTCAGTTTGTACCTAAGAGTCAGACACAAGCAGGCAGTGACCAAGAAATTCGATTTTTAGCAGGGGAGTGTATTTGCCAGGTTCAAAAGCCATTAAAACAAGAGTCCCAAAGATGCTTTTTTAAACAGCAACTGGACTTTCAATTGATTTTTCCTTGAAGATGTTTCGCTTCACATCCAAGAAGCTTCTTCAGTTCTGCCTGAATAGTGAAGGATGGAAACATTTATATTCCTTGCAGTCATCTGGTCGTTAGCACTCCTTCTGAGAGTTGTTGAGACCACTTGGAGGTTTATTTGTGCCCTCAGAGTCATCTGAATAGTGCAAACAGGTGTGGAGCCTTCTTGGAACTGCTGAAAGGACTGTGTTGTAAACAGGAGAGAGGTGGTGTCGTATCCCACCCGTTCGGTTGAGAGAGGGCTGTTCAATTTTGACATAGATGGCCTCTTTGACCCCTCTTTCAAACCAACTGTCCTCTCTGTCCAGAATGTGGATTTTGCTATCTTCAAAAGAGTGACCTTTGTCTTTTAAATGCAGATGGCCTTCTGAATCTTGTCCTGATGGGTTTGTTCTCCTATGTTGTGCCATGCATTCGTGAAGTGGCTGTTTTGTTTCTCCAATGTACAGAGCCGCACGTCTCACTGCATTGTACTGCTTATAAGAGAAGAGAAGAGAAGAGAAGAGAAGAGAAGAGAAGAGAAGAGAATTCTTTATTGGCCAAGTGTGATTGGACACACAAGGAATTTGTCTTCGGTGCATAAGGTCTCAATGTACATTAAAGCTATAAGAGATACCGTATTTTTCAGAGTAAAAGACGCACCTTTTTCCCCCTAAAAGGGGGTGAAAATTTAGGTGCGTTTTATACACCGAATGTAGGCCCGCCCACCCACTGGCCCCCACTCTTTGGCCTCTGCCTCCCAACAGTTACCTCCTTGCAAGCAAACAGCAAGAAAAAACAGCTCCTTTCAGCTTCAGCACAGCCTAATTAGCACAAGTTGATTGGATCGGCCTCCCGACCCTCAGCTGATTTGCTCTCAGCTGTTTTGCGCAGGGCTCTGCTGCTTGCTGCAAAGAGGTAAATTGCTGGAGCAGATTTTTTTTTTTCTTGTGCTAATCAAGCTATGCTGAAAACAAAAATGAAAATAAAGCAGGCTATTTGCTATTTGCTGCAAGGAGGCAAAATTGCTCAGAGGCAGAGGGAGATTTCTTTTTCTTCTTTTCCTCACCAAAAAAGGTAGGTGCGTCTTATACTCCAAAAAATACAGTAATAGCCATCGTAAAAATACATCATAATCGACATAAACAAACTGTTGTAAGTCGAGGACTACCTGTAGCAACAAACGAGCACCTAATTCTGACTCTTCCACCACAAATGTGAGGAGTAGGCTACAGTTCTCCCCTCTCAAAGTCAGAATTCCCACCTACCTGTTCCATATGTTCAAAGACAGCCAATGTTGCAATAGATGCTGGAGCCTCCTCAATAATCTTCTGATGCCGGCGCTGGACGGAACAGTCTCGGCCAAAGAGGGAGATGGCATTGCCATACTGGTCGGCAAGGATCTGGACCTCAAGGTGGCGGGATTGCTTAGCCAGTCGCATCACGAAGATCGGTGAGCCGGGCACCTCAGTTTGTACCTAAGAGTCAGACACAAGCAGGCAGTGACCAAGAAATTCGATTTTTAGCAGGGGAGTGTATTTGCCAGGTTCAAAAGCCATTAAAAACAAGAGTCCCAAAGATGCTTTTTTAAACAGCAACTGGACTTTCAATTGATTTTTCCTTGAAGATGTTTCGCTTCACATCCAAGAAGCTTCTTCAGTTCTGCCTGAATAGTGAAGGATGGAAACATTTATATTCCTTGCAGTCATCTGGTCGTTAGCACTCCTTCTGAGAGTTGTTGAGACCACTTGGAGGTTTATTTGTGCCCTCAGAGTCATCTGAATAGTGCAAACAGGTGTGGAGCCTTCTTGGAACTGCTGAAAGGACTGTGTTGTAAACAGGAGAGAGGTGGTGTCGTATCCCACCCGTTCGGTTGAGAGAGGGCTGTTCAATTTTGACATAGATGGCCTCTTTGACCCCTCTTTCAAACCAACTGTCCTCTCTGTCCAGAATGTGGATTTTGCTATCTTCAAAAGAGTGACCTTTGTCTTTTAAATGCAGATGGCCTTCTGAATCTTGTCCTGATGGGTTTGTTCTCCTATGTTGTGCCATGCATTCGTGAAGTGGCTGTTTTGTTTCTCCAATGTACAGAGCCGCACGTCTCACTGCATTGTACTGCTTATATATATATATTCCATTGCTCAGTTTGTGTCTAGGTGTTTTATCCTCGAGGTATCCTTTGAAAGACCCAGATCAACCTCCAAATGGCCTCAACGATTTTCTTCCTTCCATTTGCCACCATTCATTCAGAACTGAGGAAGCTTTTTGGATGAGAGGTGAAAGGTCTTCAAGGAAAAACCAAAAAAGTCCAGTTGCCTTTTGAAAAAAAAAAACACCTCTGGGGCCACCCTGAGCTGGATGACTAAGAATCTCCATAGACATTAAGAAAAAGTGTTTCCCTCCCCCACAGATCATTAGTTCACCCAGTGTAGTGGGAGGAAGGAATGGCCTTGAGGGACAGGAAGAAGAGATTATCAAGAAAATGATCAGATAAAAGAAACTTGAGTCTGGAACAGAATGTAATCCAAGAAAGCCTCTCAGGCAAGAGCTTTCCTAGCTTTCACGAAGATTAAGTGGGGGAGAGGAAGCAACGTTCTGAGTTGCAAGATTAAAGTTAGCCATTCACGGCCCAGTGGTGGAATTCAGCCGGTTCCGTCCGGTTCGTGCGAACCGGTAGCGGCGACTGCGGGAGACCTCGCCCACCCGCTCGAACATAATGCGTGACTACTGCACATGTGCAGAAGGCCGTGAGCATGGGCAGAGGTGGCGCGTGCGCTCACATTTGCAAACCAGTAGGGAAGGTAAGTGAATCCCACCTCTGACGGATGAGCAGATTAGAAACCAAAGACCAATATTACTTATATTATATATTTTCATTATAAAAGTATAGTAATAGAATCCTGCAAATCTTCATTGTGCTTTCTCTCTCCTTCTCTTTATTTTCATGAGAACTCGGGAGGGTCCCCAGAATTCCCCACACTTTCACAATTACCCAGCTAGTACCCATACAGATGTATGGCCCTCAAGTCCCAGAATTCCCTGCTAGCATGCTTTAACCGGTGTGGACTTCGATTCCCAGAATTCCCCAGCCAGGATACGTTAAGATGTGCAGATGTCAACTTCTAGAATTCCACAGCTAGCATGCTTTAAGGAGCGTGGACTTCATCTCCCAGAATTCCCCAGCCAGCAGGCTTTAAGTTGTGCAGACCCCAGCTCCTAGAATTTCCCAGCCAGCATGATTTAATGTGTGTGGACTTCAACTCCCAGAATTCCCCAGTCAGCATGATAGCTGGCTCACAAATTCTGGGAGTTGAAGTCCACAGGTCTTAAAGGGGCCACCGTTCCCCACCTCTGTAATAGAACCATTGGGCCTCATATTGCCTTTTTTAACCAATCAATCATTTCTAATCTGGAGATTCTAAGATTAGGAATTTCAAGACATTTCGCCAGACTAAGGAAATATGCCCTAGAAGAAACATACCTGTCTAAAAAGGTTGGGAAAATCATCGGCATTGTTTACTTTCCGGATTCCTTTCCCTCCTCCTCCTTCAGAGGCTTTGATCATAACCGGATAACCAATAGCTTCGGCAGCCTGAATGCAAGGTAAGCCACAAATGAATGAGATTTATTACAAGATCGATAATTGTCCTTAAGTTTCTGGACAGGTAGAAAAAAAAGAGCCCCACCCCCATCACAACTCCAAAATTCAGCAAGGTCAACAAAGTAGCCTCCTAAAATTTAGGGGTCTTCCATCTTTAATCTTAGATCTACTTCTCCACTCAAGAGTGGTGTATATTCTGGGGGTGCTCTTGGATTCTTGGCTCCTGTTTAAAGGGCAGGGGATACCTGTGGCCAAGCACACCTTTGCACAGCTGCCCCTTCCTGAATCCTCCAAGACGATCACTCAATGCCTTTTTCATCTCATGACTTGACTACTGCAATGCAAGCTACATGGGGCTGCCCTTGAAGACTACTCAGAAGCTTCAACTGGTCCAGAATGTAGTAGCCTGGTCAGCGATAGGCTTGCCTCAGTATATCTTTGTGATATTTGTTACTTCGCAAGCTCCACTGGTTACCAGTACAGGTAGTCCTCGACTTACAAACAGTTCCTTTAGCGACTGTCCGAAGTTACAAAGGCACTGGCAAAAGTGACTTATGACCATTTTCCACACTTAATGACTGTTGCAGCATCCCCACGGTCACGTAATTTACATTCAGATGCTTGACAAACTGACTCGCATGTATGACGGTTGCAGTGTCCCAAGGTCCAGTGATCGCTTTTTGCAACCTTCTGACAAGCAAAGTCAATGGGGAAGGCAGATTCACTTAGCAACCGGGTTACTAATTTAACAACCACAGTGATTCATTAAGGCAAGAAAAGTTGTAAAATGGGGCAAAACTCACTTAACAAATTTCTCATTTAGCAACAGAAATTTTGGGATCAGTTGTGGTCATAAATTGAGGACTACCTGTATACCTCAAGGTACCTATTCAGATAATCCACACATCTTCAAACATCTTGAAGGTTAAGAAACAGCGATCGAATAAATACACAAATGCTTCTGCGTTTAGCACTTAGCTCCAGAGCTTGAGACACAAAAGTAGGATGTTGTATTCATGGCTGAAAGTTCAGCTCTATGGATAAGATACTTCAGCGGCCATGCTTACCCTCAAGCCATGATCCACATCCGTCACGCAGCCCTTCTCATATAGTTCCTCGGGAACGTTCAAGATCCGCTTTTGAAAGTCGTTTTCTTGCCAATCTACCTGGAGACCTGAAAGCCAGAAGATTTGTGATGATCCAGACACAGGTGTGTTCTAAATTTAATTCGTTTCCCATTGAACTCGAAGGAATATTTGAGAGGGTCCTTGGTCCTCTCTGAGCTTGCTTGTTTCCTTACCCAAACTAGGTTAGATCATCAGTGCTAGTGAGGAGTCGGGTTTGCTCTCAATTTAAATTCTATTGGGTCCCCTGTAAGTGTTGGTGGGGGTCGTCTTAGAGGCTATTTGGTTGAGCTGTTTACTGTTGGTTAGTTTGGCAGTTCCTTGATTGGGGTATTGTTTTCCTGATTGTTGGTTTGATGTTAACCTTGGAGTTAATCTATGCCAGGTGTCGGCAACCTGTGGCTCCGGAGCCGCATGCGGCTCTTTTGTCCCCCTGCTGTGGCTCCCTGTTGGCTGAATCCATCACAGGTTGGCCCCGCCCCTCGCCCTCCCAGTCACTCCTTACCTGGTCTGAGAGAAAGAGATGAAAAAGAGAGAGAGGGAGGGAGAGAGGGAGAGAGAGGGGCAAGAGAGAGAGAGAGAGAGAGAGAGAGAAAGAGACAGAGAGAGAGAGAGAGGGAGGAAGAAAAAGAGAGACACAGAGAGAGACACAGAGAGAGAGATACCTGTTTCCCACAGAAAACACTTGGAGCCACAAAACCTGGGTAGGCGTGGCTGGGTTGTGTGTCATGTGACTGGATGGGAGTGAGTGATGTCAAGTTGGCCACACCCACCCAGGTTTTGTGGCTCCTGGCGTTTTCTTTTCTGTGGGAAACGGGTCCAAATGGCTCTTTTGAGTGTTTAAGGTTACAGACCCCTGATCTATGCTCATCTGGGTGCTGATTGCAGGTAGGGAGATGGGGAAGAAACAAAAAGTCCCAAACAAGCTGCTAGAAGATAAACTGACAGCAAATCCCACTCCTTATTAGCACTGATGATATTATCTGCTCTGCTAATAAAGTTCTGCAAGAAAATAATCAAGCTCAGAGAGCACCAAGGACTCATTTCAACCCTGAGCTACAAATATTCTCTTTTAAAGGAACATTTCCTAATTGGTTTTTCTTTGAGTAATGACACACAAACCCATTACACAATCACAACCGGCACATTCAAATTGACTTAACGTGTTTTATCTACATTGGGTAAAAAAGGACGTTCTGATAAGCTACTTGGGATAAGGAAGGAAAAAGTTTGGGAAGGACCATCCTGACTGAATTGGCAATACTGGTAGTCTTCCACTTACAACTGTTTGTTGAATGACCATTCAAATGTCACTGAAAAAGGTGACCTAGGACCAGGGGTGAAATCTACTTACCTTCCCTACCAGTTCGGAAGTGCACGCGCCACCCGCGCGCGGACCAGTGGTGAAATTATTTATTATTTATTATTAACTTATTTATTTCAACTAGCTGGGCTGGCTTGAGCTAAATTTTAAATTGGTTTTAAATTGGGTTGTTTTAATTTACGGCCAGAATATCTAATTATTTTAATACTGTTTTTTAAATTTTGTATGCTTTGTTTTTACTTAGGCTGTGCACCGCCCTGAGTCCTATTTGGAGAAGGGCGGTATAGAAATTTAAACAAACAAATAAATAAATAAATAAATAAATCTAAAATTTGTTACTACCGGTTCTGTGGGCGTGGCTTGGTGGTGGTGGGGTAATGCTTTCAAAAGGCTCTGAGATCCCAGCTGAGTTGCCTGATCGGCAGAGGCTATTTTTCTTTTAAATGCCTCTGACGATCAGGCAACTCAGCTTGGATCGTCAGAGCAGAGGCTTTTAAAAGAAAAAAAGGGTTTTTTTCTTTTAAATGCCTCTGACGATCCAAGCTGGGTTGCCTGATCAGCAGAGACTTTTTTACTAAAAAAAGCCTCTGATGATTGTGCGGCTCAGCTGGGCGGGGGAGGGGGGGCAGGGATTTTTGCTACCGGTTCTCCGAACCACCTGCCTCCATCGCTACCGGATCAGGTAATCCGGTCCGAACCGGGAGCATTTCACCCCTGGCGCAGACCCTCTGCGAATGCACAGAGGGTAAAAAACAGGTTATTTCCTGGTTAAAACCAGGAAGTAACGACGACCGGGCGGGTGGGCGGAACCTTGCACTGCCACCGCTACCGGTTCTCTGAACCACCCGCCACCATCGCTACCGATTCAGCCGAACCGGTCTGAACCAGTAGCATTTCACCCCTGCCTAGGACCGCTTTTCAAACTTACAGCATTCTCCACGGTTGTGTGATCAAAATTCAGACGCTTGGCCACTGACTCACATTTATGACACCTGTGTCATGTGATCTCTTTTTGTGACCTTCTGACAAGCAAAGTCAATGGGGAAGGCAGATCCACTTAACAGCCGGGTTACTAATTTAACAACTGCAGTCTTTTATCTTAACCACTGTGGCAAGAAAGGTCGTAAAATGCGGGCAAAACTCATTTAACAAATGTTTCGCTTAGTAACAGTGGGCTCAGTGGTAGCCGTAAGTCAAGGACGACCTGCCTTTAAAAAGGGAGGGAAGAACCTTAAGCTAAACACTGCATTTCAGTCAATCCAATTCACTCCGCATAGCGACAAAATCAGAAGCGATCCTACCAGTTGTCTCCCCCAGAAATAATTTTCTCCTCAGTCGCCTCCAAACCATTTCTAAAAGCTATTGCATGCCAGAAAGGGATTGCAATACACTCTTCACCCTATTCTATTCTTTCCTAATTAGTTGCAAAATCAGGTCTCCAGATTTCAAAAGCCACTGCTTGGTATGAGTTCATTATCTGGATATAAATTTCGTCACCAGCATTTGAACTTTATGGAGTCAATTGTGTGGCTGTGAGCCAAAACCAGTGGTGGGATTCAGCCAGTTCGCACCTATTCGGGAGAACCGGTTGTTAACTTTCTAAGCAGTTTGGAGAACTGGTTGTTGGAAGAAATTTTTTCCCTCCTACTTTACAGGGCTAATCCTGTTAGGAAGGCAGGAAGGAAACATTCTGCTGTTGTTTCTAGCCTAATCTTTATTGCCCTGCTTACAGAAACTGCCTCTCTGGTTAACACTTATTACATTGTAACAACTAAGGCAAAGCGCCCATCGATGTGAGTAATGTTGAGTTGGCCACGCCCACACGGTCACATGACCACCAAGCCATGCCTACCCAGCTGGCCATTAGGGCAGGGAACCGGTTGTTAAATTATTTGAATCCCACCACTGGCCAAAACTAAAGAAACTTTTTTAAAAAAAAAAAGAAAAGAAAGAGCAGGGGAAAATGGGTTACATCCACGGTTGGAGAATTTTCTCTCCAGGCAGAAAAGAGCCAATTGTTCATATCTCGGAAGTCTAGAATGAACCAAAATCCATACCGACCAATCTTTCTGCCTTGAATGGAAGCTATCTCTAAGCCGGGCTGACATCCAGCCAAATTTAGCCACTCTTGAAAAGTTAAGCAGGATCAAATCTTGATAGAAGAAAATATTTGTAGCTGAGGATTGAACTATGGGGTCCTTGGTGCTCTCTGAGTATGGTGGTTTCCTTGCAGACGTCTCATTACCAAACTAGGTAACATCATCAGTGCTAGAAGAGAGTGAGGTTTCCTCTCAGGAATACATCTCAGATCTCCTGATATTGCAAAGCTTCTCTTTTTCTAGGCTTGGGCTAGATTTCCAGAAATGACTCTCACCTTCCAGATGAGAATAAAGCATGCCCAACTAAAGATTGTCCAGGGGATAACAGAATTGGAACCTTAGAGGTTTTCTAGTCCAACCCACTGCTCAAGCAGCGGGCCCTATACCATGTCAAACAAATAAATGATTGTCCAAACTCTTCTTAAAAACCTCTCATATTAAGAGATTACGATATCATATGCAGTACTGTTGCTGTTATTATTTGACTGTTTGACATTTATATCTCTATACTTGCAATTTTGTATCGTCTTTCTTTTGTTAAACTAAAACAAGCATGTTGTCAAGCTTCGTTGTTATCTCCAAATAAATGAATTTCCAAACGCCCGATCTTTGAGGACATTTTTCTCTTTATTGAGCATAACGAACTGACCCTGACTCAATGCGCAGTTAGCACTAAACTTTGGCCCCCCCCAAAACCTCTCTTTCCAGTTCCTAATTCTCTGCTTCTCATTGGCCATTTTCCAAGCCACTCTACTCATCCCATCTCTGTCAGTTCACAGGAATGTCCCCCTCCCATCCCATCTCCGTGGAGACAGTTCTTCAGGGGAATTAAGAAGGTGAAAGTTCAAGCCTCTCCTCTCATTCCTTATGGCAGCTTGGAAGCTGACACATGTTTTATTATATAATTGCACAGGTAGTCCTCAATTTATAACTGCTCACTTAGTGACCATTCAAAGTTACGGCATTGAAAAATGTGACTTATGACCGTTTTTCATAGATACAACCTTTGCAGCATCCCCATGATCATGTGATCAAACTTCAGATGGTTGGTATTTGGTTCATATTTATGACCATTGCTGTGTCCCAAGGTTAGGTGATCAGCTTTTGCAGCCTTCTCACAAGCAAAATCAATGGGGAAGCCAGATTCGCTTAACAACTTATCGACTGCAGTGATTCATTTAACAACTGTGGCAAGAAAGGTTGTAAAATGGGGCAAAACTCACTTAACAACAGAAATTTTGGGCTCAGTTGTGGTCGAAGTGGAAGACTACCTGTATCTGTATGGAAGGGAGTTGGAAGTAATCCTTTTTTAGTTTTTATATCATTTTCTAAATTTTCCTCATTCCCCTCACTTCCCTCTAGCACTGATGACGTTACCTAATTCGGTAATGAAACGTTTGCTAGAAAACCACCAAGCTCAGATAGCACCAAAAAGTCACCCAGGGTCAAATCTGCTTACTACCCTGTTCCCCCCCAAAATAAGACATCCCCTGATAATAAGCCCAATTGGACTTTTGAGCACATGGCAATAAGGGAAATCGCTTATTTCAGGGTTAAAAAAAAAAAAAAAGACTGGGTCTTATTTTCGGGGAAATAGGGCCTCCCGTATCATTTCTCAGGGTTTATTTTAAACAACATTGCCATATGGAGGAATTTGGTCCATAGTCACGTGATCTTGAACACATCTTACCGCTGCCGCTCCATGGAAGGGTAGGGATACCCGCAGTTTGCGCCACTATAGAAGAGGCAATTTTATCTCCTAATGCCCACATCGCTTGGCTTGGGGGACCTAGAAAAAATAAACAAATTAACAAAGGTTCAGCAACAAGATCAAAATTGTTCTTTTAATTTACTAGCACTGATTTACTGAACGCCACACGGCTTATCATGTCCACCTCAACTGTGTTAATTGCTTTCCTAGATATTCCACCTACAGCCACTGTTTTTGGGGACAGTGTTTTATTCCTCATTTTGTTCTATTTCTGCAGGATTTTCTTCTCAAGCTGCCTCCTTTTCTTTTTTTTTTCAACACTCTGCTTTTTATATATATTATAATATATATAATTTTTTTTAAAAAAAATTAATATAAATATTCCATCTTCCCTTAAACAGTGTGTCGTCTGGGTACAAATATCTCTGGGCAATAAGCATCAAAATTTACAACAGTATTCATTACATTGATATTAATTCTCTGATCTTACAATTGTAGTATTGAACATAGTAAACCTATTTATTTTTCCCTCTTAACATATCTTCTAATAAGACTATGATAATAATATTAAGCATAATAATCCTAATAGTCATAATAATAACAATCATCATATTGTTTACATCTCTTATCTTAACATATTTTCTACTTTTCTCTAATCTCCTTCTTTCTTTCCAACTTCCATTTTTATTCTCTAACCATCGCTAAAATAATTCCCATATCATATAATATTCAGTTTGTTCTTTCTCCTTAATTGTAAGCATTAATCTGTTCATTTCTGCACATTCTAATATTTTCCTAATCACCTTCTTATCAGTAGGGATCTCTTCACTTTTCCAGTTTTGTGCAAATACAATTCTAGCTGCAGTCAATACATGGATAATTAAATATGTGTTCTCTTTACTATAAGTTTCAGGTAAAATTCCCAAGAAAAATATTTCTGGTTTTAAATCTTTATCATCTTTTCCAGCCATGTATGTATTTTTTTTTTATTTTAATTTTTTTAAAATTTTAAGTTTTAAATCTTTATCATCTTTTCCAGCCATGTATGTATTTTTGTCCAGTATTTTTTTTTTTTTTGCTTCTACACATGTCCACCACATATGATATAATAAGACCCAGGTATCTGGTGGCACTTCCAACATTTGGCTGACTTATCTTTGAACATTTTTGCCAACCTCGCTGGTGCGAAGTGCCATCTATAAAACATCTTATACAGATTTTCTTTATATGCAGTTGACATCGTTAATTTGTAGTTCCTGTCCCACAATTTCTACCACTCCTGTGCTTTTGAGGGACCATCAGAATACAATGATGAGAAGAGCCATTCCATTCCTAACTGTTAAGCCGTTTTCTTCTGGCTGGACCCCCATGAGACCCCTTGCAACAATAAACTAACTGGATCTATTTCAGAAAAACTTTGAACACTTTACCCATGAAAGCAATGCTGTTTTTGTGGAGCAGTTCTGGAAGCTTGGGATTCTCTGACGCATGGCCCCAGCCGGCCCACACGGCCTGGAATTAGAAAAAAAGAAGTCAGATTTCCTTGCGAGGAGATCTAAAACAAATACAGTAGTCCTCGACTTACATTTGTTCATTTAGTGACCATTTGAAGTTACAACGGCACTGGAAAAAAGTGACTTATGACCATTTTTCACACTTACAACTTTTGCAGAATCCCCGTGGTCATGTGATTTACATTTGGATCCTTGGCAACTGATTCATATTTATGACGGCTGCAGCGTCCCAGGGTCACGTGATCCCCTTTTGCGACTTTCTGACGAGCAAAGTCAATGGGGAAGCCAGATTCACTTAACAACCGGGTGACTAACTTAACACCTGCAGTGATTCACTTAACAACTGTGGCAAAAAAAATTGTAAAATGGGGGCAAAACTCACTTAACAAATGTCTCACTTAGCAACATAAATTCTGAGCTCAGTTGTGATTATAAGTCAAGAACTACCTGTATAGCTAGCCCTCGATTTACAACTACAATTGAACCTGAAATTTTGGTCATTAGTCATTGCAATCATAAATCGAATTGCCAGATTCGATTTTGCAACCGTTTTAACATGGTCATTAAGCAAGTCACCAATGGTCATTAAGTGAATCACATGGATGTAAATCCAAATCCAGCTTAACAGGCATTTTTTGCCAGGAAATCATGACCAGAGGACATATACTGTTTCCCCGAAAATAAGACCCTGTCTTATATTTTTTTGAACCCTGAAATAAGCGCTTGACCTTATTACCATGCACTCAAAAGCCTGATTGGGCTTATTATCAGGGGATGTCTTATTTTGGGGGAAATAAAGTAATCAAGTGACTGCAGGATGCTACAACTGGTTGTAAATGTGAACCAGTTGCCAAGGGTTTAAAATGTGATTATATGACAGCGGAGATGGCACAGCAGTTGTAACTTTGAGGATGGGTCATAAGTAACGTTTGCCAAGTCTGTCATAACCTCAAATGTTGGTTAAGTGACCGATCACAAATCAAGAACTACCTATAGAGAAAGATATTTGTGACTGCAACTCTCCCCCAGTTTAATTCACATTTTTGAATTGTACAGAAGCCAACAACATTCCACGCATCGTGGAATGGCATTCCATTCCAAACCGAACACAGGTATGAGCATGCCTTATAAATAAGTCTACATGAAGACACCTAAATTATTTCATACACTTCTAAAATATCTAGGAATATTCTGGCTTGTTTCCAAGACGTCAAATGTATCTTCATCCAGAATACTCCATTCAGAGTAACAGAGTTGGAAGGGACCTTGGAGGTCTTCTAGTCCAACCCCCTGCTGAAGCAGAAAACCCTGTAACATTTCAGACAAACGACTGTCCAATCTCTTCTTAAAAACCTCCAGTGTTGGAGCACCCACAACTTCTGGAGGCAAATTGTTCCACTGGTTGATTATTCTCACTGTCAGGAAATTTCTCCTTAGTTCTAGGTTGCTTCTCTCCTTGATTAATTTCCATCCATCACTTCTTGTCCTGCCCTCAGGTGCTTTGGAGAATAGCTTGACTCCCTCTTCTTTCTGGCAGCCCCTGAGATATTGGAAGACTGCTATCATGTCTCCCCTAGTCCTTCTTTTCATCAAACTAGACATATCCAATTCTAGCAACCATTCTTTGTATGTTTTAGCCTCCAGTCCCCTAACCATCTTTGGTGCTCCACTCTGCACTCTGTCTCATAGAATAGAATAGAATTCTTTATTGGCCAAGTGTGATTGGACACCCAAGGAATTTGTCTTTGGTGTATATGCTCTCAGTGTACATAAATATATATATACATACATACATACATATTCGTCAAGAATCATAAGATACAACACTTAGTGATAGTTATAGGATATTAATGAGCAATCAAATCATACTAGGAAACAATAAAAACAATATAAGTTGTAAAGATACAAGCAACATGGATATACAAGAGCCTTGGTGGCGCAACAGACTAAAGTGCTGTTAACTAGCACCAGCTGCCTGCAATTACTGCAAGTTCGAATCTCACCAGGCTCAAGGTTGACTCAGCCTTCCATCCTTCCGAGGTAGGTAAAATGAGGACCCGGATTGTGGGGGCAATAAGCTGACTTTGTATAAAAAGGAACACCGCTTGTGGGGGGCCGAAAGCCCTACTAAGCAGGTATGTGCAAAAGTATGAAGGCTATTGCTTAACGCATTGTAAGCCGCCCTGAGTCTCCGGAGAAGGGCGGCATATAAATTGAACTAATAAATAAATAAATAAATAAATAAAATAGCCATAAGTGGGAAGAGATAGAAGAATAGTAACACAGTCTTAGTAAATAGTTTGACAGTGTTGAGGGGATTATTTGTTTAGCAGAGTGATGGCGTTTGGGAAAAAACTGTCCTTGTGTCTAGTTGTTCTGGTGTGCAGTGCTCTATTAGAGTCGTTTTGAGGGTAGGAGTTGAAACAATTTATGTCCAGGATGCGAGGGGTCTGTAAATATTTTCACAGCCCTCTTTTTTGACTCGTGCAGTATACAGGTCCTCAATGGAAGGCAGGTTGGCAGCAATTGTTTTTTCTGCAGTTCTAATAAACTATGGGAATTAAATAAACAATTGGCTTGGTCCACACAACATGCTAAGTTTTAATCAAGCCTAGTTTCCAAACCAAAGTGGATAGCATGCTTAGCTAAATCTACGCCGCAAACAATTATGTTAGAATAAAGCCACCTACATCCGTAATAAGCATTCTTTATTTTTTTAAAGTTCTGTATTTCCAGATTCTCACCTGCACAGGTATCCGTTTTGCAATTTCCAGTATCAGTTCCACGTTAGCATAGTTATTGTTATTCGGACCTCCGGGTACCGGAACGTAATGATCGGCCATTTTAATATATTCTGAAAATATGTAAAAGAAGAGTGTCAACTTGCAAAGCTTTCAAGTTGCCATAAGCATGAGGGAGGGAGAACTGATAGGAGCCTTGGTAGTACAGTGGTCTAAAGCACCCTGTTATTAAGACCAGCTGCCTGCAATTACTGCAGGTTCAAATCTCGCCAGGCTCAAGGTTGACTCAGCCTTCCATCCTTTCTAAGATAGGTAAATTGAGGACCCAGTTGTGTGGGCAATAAGCTGACTTTGTATAAATATACAAAAGAATGAAGACTATTCCTTAGCACATTGTAAGCCGCCCTGAGTCTCCGGAGAAGGGCGGCATATAAATCAAATTTAAAAAAAAACTGATAGAGCTGATTGATTACCCTAACTGAAATGCATTCCATACATTCTTCCTGACTGCAATCAGAAGAAGGGTGTTGGATTTCACAGCCAGCCAAAGTGGTTAATTGGAGAATGTGATTTATGACATGGCCAGAGAGGAGGGGAGACACAGGGTCATAGGGGAACGTAAATCTACGTGGGATTAGTTCTAACTGCATCCGAATATTGCCGAAATGGTGCTCCTCATAAATGACTGTATTTCTTTTGAAGTTCGGCTCATGGCTCATGAATTAATTAGGGCATCTTTCGGAAACTTCACAAAGAGGCTATTTTGGTTGCTCATTCAATTGGCTACTTCTACATTTCCAAATCAGTTTTTTAAAAAAAGAAGAATACGTGTATCAATTGAGCTTAAGATTCATGAGGGAACAATTCTTTTGGGATTTCTTTTGCTTTAAAAAAAAAAGGGACTTAATGACTACAAACAGAACCAAGGTGCTTCCTTGAAGAATTTATTTATTTTTTATTCATTCATTCATTCATTCATTCATTCATTCAATTACTATAGCTGCCCATCTCAACTAAGTGATTCTGGGAGGCTTAGAAGTCTAAAATTATAAAACAGTATAAAAACATCCACAATATAATTAAGTAGAAACAGCAACCGTGATGATTAGTCAACTATTAGTAAGACCAAGTGACACGGCTCAAAGCATATTCTGAACCACAGGCCCAGGTACATCATTGAAGTGACTCCCTGAAAGAATGCTACATGTTCATTGCCTGACTACTGGAGTAATATATAGGTAGTCCTCGACTTACAACAGTTCTCTTAGTGAATGTTTGAAGTTACAACAGCACTGAAAAAAGTTACTTACTTAGATCATTTTCCACAGTTGCTGAACACAATGAAATTTCACTTTAATGTATGCTGATTAGTGCATATTTAAAGTGACAATAATTTTTCTATTCTATTGTATTCTATTGTATTCTACTCCACTCCATTCCATTCCATTTTTTCTATTCCATTCCATTCCATTCCATTCCATTCCATTCCATTCCTTCTGTTCTGTTCTGTTCTGTTCTGTTCTGTTCTGTTCTGTTCTGTTCTGTTCTATTCTATTCTATTCTATTCTATTCTATTCTATTCCATTCCATTCCATTCCATTCCATTCCATTCCATTCTATATTTTCTTTTCTATTCTATTCTATTCTATTCTATTCTATTCTATTCTATTCTATTCTATTCTATTCTATTCTATTCTATTCTAATTTCTTTTCTATTCCATTCCATTCCATTCCCATTCCCATTCCCATATGAAAAGCATAGTCCTTAAGCTCACCTGCATTGGCTTTTAAATCTTCAGGCGTCACCATAACCACGAAACGAATGGCTCGCTCATTCCGGAACATCTCATAAGACCAACGTCTGATGGACCTCATGCATTTGACGGCAGCTATCCCGTTATTGGCAATGAGAACCTAGATGGAGAAGAAAAATGGGGGGAAAGGATAAAATGGTTCAGATTTACAATCATCAATCAAACTGGGACATAACTATGTGGACGGCCCAACTGACACAGACATATGTCCACATTGCTCAGATTAATGGACAGAAAGATCTTACGACCACAATTTAGCCCCAAATGTTTGTTGCTAAGTGATACAGCTGTTAAGTGAATTTGCTCCATTTTATGACCTTTCATGCCGTAATTGTTAAATGAATCACTGCAGCTGTTAAGTTAGTAGCACGGCTCTTAAGTGAATCTGGCCTTCCCGTTGACTTTGCTTGTCAGAGGTTCGTAAAGGGTGATCACATCACTGTTGTGACCTAGGCTTACTGAGTAATTACAATACACAATTAGTCCCAAACAAACCTATTTTATTGTAACAGCTGAGAATTACGTTCAATCCCAATTAGCTGCAAAACAAGTTCTTCGGAACAAGTCCTTTGGGATAATTACCAATCTTCATCTTCTTTGACACCCTCCCAAAGGTCTTACTTGGCAAAGCCCCACAAAGTTCAGAAACAAACAAGAGATGCTGACTGGAAACAGAGTTAGCAACACTGCTTTCCTGCAAAAGGCCCAAGTGCCTCTGTGTCTCTTTTAAGCCTTATGGGAGGGGCCAATCATCTCCTGGCCTTACTCCCGAGTCGTCCCTTTTGCTTTAGCTGCTCTTGCCTTCTGGCAGCTCAGCGCATGTGTGCACTAGGAACAGGCTCCTCCTGTTCCTCTGCCTCTCTGCTGTCCGACTCTGGAAGTTCCAGAGTCCACGCATCACTCCCAGATGGCCCTGGCCCCATCTCTGCCTCCGACGCAGAGCCCTTGTCCGAGCCTTCCCCAGACTCCAGGACTGGCCCATGTTCCTCTCCAGCCTCCTCACTGTCCGATTCCGCTGCCAGCTCCAAAGGCTGCTGGCGGACAACACTAACCTCGGGACACTGCAACCGTCATAACTATGAGACAGTATGAATTTTGATCACGTGACAATGGGGATGCTGCAACAGTTGTAAGGGTGAAAAGCGGTCATAAGTCACTTTTTTACAGGGACGCTGCAACTTCGAATGGTCAATAAATGAACTGTTGTAAATCAAGGACTACCTGTATTTGAATAATGAATACTGATACTACGGTATTATTATTATAGTTGTTATTACTTTGTTGTTTTGTATGCAGTGGTGGGCTGCTGCATGGTCGCAAGGGTTTGGGCGAATCCTTAGCTTTGATCGCTGGCTGGGCCCTCCCACCACCCTTGTGCTATGCTTTCCATTTATAACTAACTTTTTGGCTCCTTGGCTGGCCCAGCTGTGATCCGCGCTGCCCCTGCTTTACTCACCGGAGCTGCCTGAGTTGATTAGGAGCACGTTTGAAACTCCGTTTCTCTCCCAAAGCGCACTCACAACCAATGAACCCTTTGATAAAGTAGGTGCAGACCACCTCTGCTTGTATGTACACTGAAAGCTTATGCCCTGGAGACAAAATCTTTGTGTGTCTAACCAGTTGGCCAAATAAAGGTATTCTATTCTATTCTATTCTATTCTATTCTATTCTATTCTATTCTATTCTATTCTATTCTATTCTATTCTCGATGAAGATTTCTATTCTATTCTATTCTGAATAAAAATTTCTATTCTATTCTTTTCTATTCTATTCTCGATAAAGATTCCTGTTCTATTCTATTCTGAATAAAAATTTCTATTCTATTCTTTTCTATTCTAATAAAAGATTTCTATTCTATTCTAAATAAAGATTTCTATTCTATTCTAAATAAAGATTTCTATTCTTTTCTATTCTAATAAAAGATTTCTATTCTATTCCATTCCATTCCCAATAAATATTCTATTCCTTTCCATTCTGTTCCATTCCATTCCATTCGATTCCAATTCTATTCTTTTCTACCATGTTTCCCTGAAAATAAGACCCTGTCTTATATTTTTTTGAACCCTGAAATAAATGGTTGGCCTTATTTTCGGGGAGCTCTTATTATTTTGGGGCGCGTGGAGCAAGATGGGGCTCCTCTTGCTGTCTTACCTGATTTCCAGCTCTGGGTTTAAAAATTTTCAGGGAGGGCTTATTTTCGGGAGGAGGCTTATTTTAGCGCATGCACTCAAAAGCCCGATTGGGCTTATTATCAGGGGAGGTCTTATTTTCGGGGAAACAGGGTAAGTTAAACAGGGACTTTAAAGAACCTACATAATTATGCCATGGGGTTGAGACTTCTCTGTTTCTACCGTACTCAAAGTAACAAGAATCGCACAAATATGCATTATTATTTTTTTAATTTTTGGATTTATATACCACCCTACTCCCAGAGGACTCAGGGCAGTGAACAGCCAAAAGATAAAACACACATAATACAAAATTTAAAAAACCATATAAAAACACATTAAATAATTTGGCCCATACAGATTAAAACACCCCTATTGTTTTAAAACAAATTTAAAATTAACAATTAAGAGGAAGTTAGGCCAGGCCAGCCTGTTGAAATAAAAAGGGCTTGAAGGCACGGCGGAAAGTGCATAAATCCGGGATCCTCCGTATCTCCGGGGGGAGCTCATTCCAGATGGCAGGTGCCCCCACAGAGAAGGCTCTCCCCCTGGGGGCCACCAGTCGACACTGTTTGGCCAACGGCACCCTGAGGAGCCCCTCTCTATGGGAGCGTACTGTCCAGTGAGAGGCTACTGGTGGCAGAAGGCAGTCTCGTAAGTACCAGGTCCTAAACCATGGAGCGCTCTAAAGATGGTAACCAAAACCTTGAAGCGCACCCGGAAGACCACCGGGAGCCAGTGCAGCTCACGCAGGAGAGGTGTTACATGGGAACGCCACGTTGCTCCCATAGCCACCCGCGCGGCCGCATTCTGGACCAGTTGGAGCCTCCGGGTTCTCCTCAAGGGGAGCCCCATGTAGAGAGCATTACAGTAGTCCAGGCGGGAAGTGATAAGGGCATGAGTGACCGTGCGTAAAGAGTCCCGATCTAGAAAGGGACACAACTGGCGGATCAGGAGAACCTGATAGAAAGTCCTCCCGGCCACAGCCGTCAAATGCTCTTCTAAAGACAGACGTGAATCCAGGAGGACACCCAAGTTGCAAGCCATCTCCGTGGGGGCCAACGACTCGCACCCAATAGCATTAAGAAAGGAGGTTCCATTCTTTACCTTCTCAATAACTTTGTTCCCTCCAAAACGGGTGACAAACTCCGCTGGAGACGCAACAGTGAAATCCCTCTGTAGATCCACTTTCTTCCTATCCCGGCCTTGTTTCATGAGGTGAAGGCCGGACATGCTTGGCCTGGGAAGACAAAGAAACAACAACACCGTTAGAGTTGGCAGAAGATGCTGCGGAGATTTGACTAGAAATCTAGATCTCATTCACCATCACTTCCTACCAGATTATTTAACACTAGATGCCAAGACCTGAACCTAAAACAGTGATAGCTAACCTTTTTGCCGTTGCGTGCCAAAAGCAGGGGGAGCACAGGGGGTCGTGCGTGTGCGTGCCCACACCCATAATTCAATCCCCCTCATGCCATGCTCCCTCCATACATGCCCGCGTGACCCCGTCCCGCACTCCCCCTGCTTTTGGCACACGATGGCAAAAAGGTTACCGGTGGGCCCAGTAGGCCTGTTTTTGGTCCTCCCCAGGCTCCAGAGCCTTTCTTGGAACCTGGGGAGGGTGAAAACGGCCTTCCCTATCCCCCCAGAGGCCCTGTGGAGGCCCCTCCGGTGGGCCCAGAAGGCCCAAAAATCAGCTGGCTGGTGTGCACATGCGCACTGCAGCTGAGCTAGGGCCACGTTCGCGTGCCCACAGATATGGCTCCGTGTGCCACCTGTGGCACGTGTGTCATAGGTTCACCATCACAAACCTAAGATCTTGGTTAATAAGCTACAGACCATCAATCTAGGATCCTGGACAGAACTGTGCAGAGGTGTATGATCTTTCAAGGACCCCCACACACACACAAAAGGAAGGAATTTTAAGAGGTATTTGCATTTTGAAGGAGAACCAGAAACAAATAAACTTCTGAGGATATTGTCTCGAACCCTAGATATGTGTCTATGGAGATTCTCAGACATCCGGGTCATGGTTTTCCCAAAAGGTGCTTTTTCAAAAAAACAACTGGACTTTTGTTTTTCCTTGAAGACGTTTCGCTTCTCACCCAAGCGAAACATCTTCAAAGAAAAACAAAAGTCCAGTTGTTTTTTTGAAAAAGCACCTTTGGCACAATCCTAGAGAGTGCGTGTAGGAGATATATTAAGGCCAGTTTGGCGTTGCGGTTAAGGCAAGAGGCAAGAAACCAGGAGATCATGCGTTCTAGTCCTGCCTTAGGCACAAAGTTACCTGGTTGGCCTTCGGCCAGCCACTCTGCCTCAGCCCTAGGAAAGAGGCAATAGCAAACCACTTCTGAAAAAGAGCCTGGTGGTGCAGCAGACTAATAGCCTGTTATTAATATTCAGCTGCCTGCAATTACTGCAAGTTCGAATCTCTCCAGGCTCAAGGTTAACTCAGCCTTCCATCCTTTCTAAGGTAGGTAAATTGAAGACCCAGTTTGTGGGGGCAATAAGCTGACTTTGTATAAATATACAAAAGTATGAAGGCTATTGCTTAATGCATTGTAAGCCGCCCTGAGTCTCCGGAGAAGGGTGGCATATAAATCAAATTAAAAAAAAAAAAAAACTAGCCGAGAAACTGCCTGGACAAGTTCGAACAGTTATTAGGAGTCCAAATATGATTTTCAGGCACACACAAAGTTGCCCAGAGCAGATGTGCTGATAATGTTAATAACTCTAGGGCAGAGGTCTTCCAACTTGACAGCTTTAAGACTTGTGGACTTCAACTTCCAGAATTCTCCAGCCAGCATAGCTGGCTGGAGAATTCTGGGACTTGAAGTTCACAAGTCTTAAAGCTGCCAAATTTGGGGGCCCCTGCTCTAGGGATTGAAACTGCTAAAATGGAAATCTTTGATTCTCACATCAATGCAAGCCGTTCTATAAGCCAGGAACGAATGCCAGATTCCCACGCTATGGCCAAGCGATGGCAATATTAGATACATGTCTAGTTAGAGCAACTTCTTTTTTTAAAATTCAAGAAATCAATTAAGCATGCCAATTCCAAATTGTGTCCTTCTGACTCCAATAGGCACAGCTGGAATCCCAGCATTTGTATCCCATAATAGCACGAGTCCAGAGAAACCATTAGAAGAGCGCATTTATCTCCAGGTAGTCCTCGACTTACGATCACAGTTGAGCCCAAAATTTATGTTGTTAAGTGAGACACGTGTTAAGAGTTAGGTGAGTTTTGCTTCCTTTTACAACCTTTCTTGACACAGTTGTTAAGTGAATCGCTGCAGTTGTTAAGTTAGTAACATCGTTAAGTGAATCTGGCTTCCCCATTGGCTTGGTTTGTCAGACAGTCGCAAAAGGGGATCACATGATCCCTGGACTCTACAACCGTCATAAATATGAACCAGTTGCCAAGCATATGAATTTTGATCACGTGACCGTGGGGATGTTACAATGGTCGTAAGTCTGAAAAACAGTCATAGGTCACTTTTTTTAGTGCTGCTGTAACTTTGACCGGTCACTAAATGAACTGTTATAAATTGAGGGCTACCTGTATCTGCAGGTGGTCCTTGAACTACGACCACAATTGCGAGCAGAATTTCTGTTGCTAAGCCAGGCAGTTGTTAAAAGTGAGTTTTGCCCTATTTTACGACCTTTTTTCGCCAAGGTTATTGAGTGAATCGCTGCAATTGTTAAGCGAACCACTTGCTCATTAAGCAAATCCGGCTCCTCCCGTTGACTCTGGTTGTTGGAAGAGATTGCAAATGGCGGCGACATAACACAGTGACGTTGAAATACCTATCGGCTGCCAAGCATCTGATTTTCGATCGTGTGAAACGTGCGGATGCTGCAACGGTTGCAAGTTTGAGGACTAATTCTAAGTCATTTTTTTTCAGTGTTGTTGTAACTTCAAATCAGTGGTGTGTTTCAAAATTTTTTACTATCGGTTCTGTGGGTGTGGCTTGGTAGACATGGCATGGCTTGGTGGGCGTGGCTTGGTGGGCATGACAGGGGAAGGATACTGTAAAATCTCCATTCCCTCCCCACTCCAGGGGGAAGGATACTGTAAAATCTCCATTCCCACCCCGCCCCAGGAGAAGGATACTGTAAAACCTCCATTCACCTTCCCACTCCAGGGGAAGGATACTGTAAAATCTCCATTCCTCCCCACTCCAGGGGAAGGATACTGTAAAATCTCCATTCCCACCCAACTCCAGGGGAAAGATACTGTAAAATCTCCATTCCCACCCAACTCCAGGGGAAGGATAGTGTAAAATCTCCATTCCCTCCCCACTCCAGGGGAAGGATAGTGTAAAATCAACATTCCCTCCCCAATCCAGGGGAAGGATGCTGCAAAATCCCCATTGCCTCCCGATCAGCTGGGACTTGGGAGGCAGAGAATAGATGGGGGCAGGGCCAGTCAGAGGTGGTATTTGCCGATTCTCCGAACTACTCAAAATTTCCGCTACCAGTTCTCCAGAACTGGTCAGAACCTGCTGAAACCCACCTCTGCTCATGACCGTTTTTCACACCTGCGACCGTTGCTGCATCCCCGTGGTCATGTGATCAAAATTTGGACTTTGGCAAGTGTCTCATATTTATCACGGTTGCAAGGTCATATGATCACCTCTGTTGGACTACAACAGGCCTGTCAAACTGGCAAACTCTAGGCAGCTCCACCAACCAACCAAAAATCACACAACAAAAACCATTTCGCCTTGCAAAACGATTCAGGAACAAAAACGAAACTAGACACGGAGGTGGGGGTGAATTAGAGGAAGCGGCTTGCCCTCTGCCTTAGTGTCTTATTTTTTCAAAACCAGGGAGAGCATGACTCTTTGGAGAGAAGCAACCTAGAACTGAGGAGAAATTTCCTGACAGAATAATTAAGCAGTGGAACAACTTGCCTCCAGACATCCTGGGTGCTCCAATACTGGGAGTTTTTAAGAAGAAATTAGACAACAATTTGTCTGAAATGATATAGGGCCATGATGGCGAACCTGTGGCACGCGTGCCACAACTGGCACGCAGAGCCCTCACCCAGTTTACTCCACTGCGCATGTGCACCCGCGAGCCTCCCGCCAGCCAGCTAATTTTGGGGATGCGCAGGGGGGCAGGGCACGTGGGAGACACGCACACATGCGCAAGGGGGGGTCGCGTGCATGCACGTGGCTCGGGGCACGCACACATGAACGGGGCAAGGGTGGAGCACGGGGGGGGTTGCGGCGCGCCACCCCCCACAGCCCATTTTTGGGCTCAGGAGGCTGCAGGGGGACTGCTAGGCCAAAAACGGGGGGCAGGGGGGTCGCGTCTACCTGCGTGGTGGAGGTTGTGCACGCATGCGCAGGGGCGCACGCACTGCATTATGGGTGCCAGTATGCACACGCTTTCAGCACACAATAAGAAAAAAGTTAGCCATCACTGGTATAGGGCCGTGATGGCGAACCTATGGAACATGTGCCACAGGTGGCACGCAGCACCCTCTCTGTAGGCACATGAGCCGTCGCCCCAGTTCACCTCTGCTGCACATGCATGCGGGCCTCCCTGACAGCCAGCTGGTCGTCGGGTCTCTGCCGCACATGTGGGGGGGGGTCGGGGCCCCATGGGGGGGCCGCGCGCACACTCTTTGGGCACTCAGTTCAGAAAATGTTAGCCATCACTGGTACAGGGTTTCTGCCTGAGCAGGGGGTTTATTTATTTATTTATTTATTTATTGGTTCGATTTATATGCCGCCCTTCTCCGAAGACTCAGGGCGGTTTACAATGTGTTAAGCAATAGCCTTCATACTTTTGTATATACCTGCTTAGTAGGGCTTTTGCCCCCCCCCCCAAAGCGGTGTTCTTTTTTTATACAAAGTCAGCTTATTTTACTTACCTCGGAAGGATGGAAGGCTGAGTCAACCTTGAGCCTGGTGAGATTTGAACTCGCAGTAATTGCAGGCGGCTGGCAGCTAAGTGCTACCTAACAGCACTTTAGTTCGCTGCACCACCAAGGCTCAAGGGTTGGACTAGAAGACCTCCAAGGCCCCTTCCAACTCTGTTATTCTGTTACTCTGTTTGCCTGCAGTTAAAATCCCTGCATCAACTTTTTCAATCGTTTTTTTAAAGCCTGAAAAGCTTTTCCACACCTTCCTTTCCAAACCCATGGAGAAATTCCTTGCCTTCAAGGGCAAGGTAACCAGATAGTCCTCGACTTACAACGGTTCATGTCGTGACCATTCAAAGTCA